GTACAAAAGTAAGCACAGGTAGATGTACATAGAACACTACTGGAGAAAGCTGTAAGTTGAGAGCCTCCCTTTCTCTCTTTTCTCTCTCGCTCTCGCTCTCCCTCTCCCCTGTACATAATACACCATAGTCACCGATTGTTTCAATTTTTCTCACTGTTCGAAGACAATGAAAAAGTTGATCAAAAGATAGAAGAGGTCTTTATCAAACAAACCAGATAGACATATCAAACGTTCACACAACTTCAGCAAAGGGTTCTCACCACCATCTGCGACATTGATTCCATCCCCAAGCACAAGCACTGTAGCATGGTCGATAGACATAGTTGTAGCAGGGCTGGGTCACGTACTGTGTGACATACCGCGTTACATACTGCGGTACGTACTGAGTTACGTACCGTGTGATGTACTGTGGTACATACCGGGTTACGTAACGGTTGATGTACTGTGGTACATACTTGGTTATGTACTGTGGCACATATCGCGTTATGTACTCCTTCACTCGGATCACCTTTGGGGGCTGGTTCTTTAAGCGCTTGATTTCCTCCTCCAAGCACCACACTCGATTCTGACACTCTTTCAGCTTAGTTCTGTCCCCTTCTCGCCCTTTCTCGCACTTCTCCAGTCTGATGGAGTCATCCCAGAGAGAGTTAGGAAGTGGATCCAGGAGAGAAACACCAGCACTTACTTGACTTCGACTTTCTTCTTATCCTCCTTGGCGTGATTCTTCTCCTCCTTGCACTTGTTGAGGTCGACAGTGAGCTTCTCGCAATCGCACTTCTTCTTCCCTCCCTCGATGCAGTCGATAAGGCGCGCGTTCAGCTTGGCGTTCTCGGCCTCTAAGCGACTCTTGGTGGAAACCAAGCCGTCGTGTTGAGCGACATGGTCCCAGTACTTGCTCAAGTTGTCCCTCAGATCATTCCTGTCCTGAGGCATCATAACATACACATTACCAGCAAATGCCGCCCGGTCCAAAGTCTGGAGCATGTCTTGCTTGCTTGGTGGAGCCATCCTCCAGAAACAAATCACACCCGATCACAGCGAAAACAGGATGACCCAGATCTGCCCCTAGCGCTGCTTTAAGGCCGTGAAAGTCAACATCGAAGACTAAGTCGTTCATAACTGCCCTACAATAATCACGTCGTCCAAGCCTGCACTGCAACAGTCAAGACCTCCAAGCATGTTCTAGGATGCTGCTGCAACAATCTTGGGTTGTATGCCCAAAAATTTTGCCCGGAAACCTTTGTTAGAGTTCTCCTACCTAAGAAATTTAAAACAATTATTAATTTGCAGTATTGTCCCTTGAAAATTCCAAGCATTCTCCTTGCGTGCCAGCCAACGTGGCCCCAAGAAAGAGCAGCCACAAACCAAAGACAACAGAAATTAGATTATTAAATCATAACAATATAATTAGAGTACAGAAGTATATTTTATTTTAAAATTTAATGAAATAATATTAAATATAACAAAAACATATGGCTAAATAAACATAGTTGTAGTGGGGTGCTGGTTTTCCTCCTTTTACAGATCGTTGTGAAAATGGCTGGAAGTGAGTAAACTTACTGTACAGAATCGCATAAACCATTCCTGATCTCTCCTTTCAGATTCTCTACCACTTTCTGGTTGAATGAGGTATGCTTTAAACTGTGAGAACTTGATTGATAACTTCGATCAAAACATGATGTAATCATCCATTCATTAGTTGTTTACAAAGTTTCCCAGTGCCCACCAAAAAGGACGGATTATAGTAAGCTGTTTTAATGATTTCTTGAGCCATTCGTTTGTTGAACTCGTCCAGGTCTTCTGCCACGGAGCCTTCTGTCACTGCCCTAGGCTTCACCAATCTACCTGCCGCCCCTCATGTTGGAACCTTAACGTGATCCTCATCTAGCAGTGAGAAGTATTGATTGGCAACACTAGTTTACACTTTGAATCCCTGTCAATGGCACGGGACTTTTCGTTTGACTGACGCACAGTTAGATGTCTATAGTCAATGGACAATGAATTATCGGTCTTTGATTGGTGAAGTTCTACGCGGTTGTTCGTATCAACAAAGAACCATCACAAAATTCTGCTGATTTCTCTGTAGTTTCTTCGAGGGCATTGAAGCTGTCAATGAGATCTTACCAAAGAAATTGCTGTTCATTGTCACCAAACAAGAAAACCTTGCTTTTGGCAATTGTACATTAGCCAGTCATTGTTTGCAACTTATATTACATTTGAGAGTGAGAATAGCGGTTTATCATGGCCTTGAGACCAGATTTTGTTATGTGCCAGTTTTCTTTCCTTTGCTGCGCTCTTCCCTCTTTCCCTTATTTATGGATTCTTCCGGGCGATCCTCCTGAAATGGCTGGAGAATTTTCTAATGCTTCAGACGTTAACACTTTGCTTGAAACCGATGCTGGTTTTGAATCCATTGTCTTCATGGTGCTAGTCGATTGGAAGGGCCTGGCAGCAGCAGCATCATGGAGAAACAGGAGGAGCATGCCCAAGATCACAACCACATGAACCATTCTTGATCTCTCCAAGATCACAGGAAATCTGGCTAGAAATTGCCTACCTTCGAGTGACTGAGAGAAAACATCCATGAGATTTTTATAGATCAGTGGATACAAGACTGCCTTGGCAGGGACAAGCTTGGTGCCAGTCACACACGGCAGACGTCGCGTAGAGCATCTTCGGCGAAAAAGAGGCCCATCTTTCTATTGATCACGGAGATCCACCACGACACACTTTCTGATCCCGATCGCGTCCACAGCTTGACAGGATCCTCTCCGCGGTCATGAGACGCCTGGACGAACTTCCTGACCATGGGAAGTTTCGGTTCACTTTCAATGCGGGACTTAATTTCTGTTATGATGCAGTTCATATCGATTACTAAGAACATAGATAATTTAACAAAAGTACAAATTTGCACGCAGGCAGGCGAGAGCGGATCTGCAGCTAGCGGCAGCTAGATCTAGAGATCGAGAGGAAGAAATCGAGCTGGGACTTACTTGAATTGGCGCTCCCCGCAGCCCTTGTGCTCGATCTAAATCCTTCTCTTCGATTTTGCAGCACCGTTAGAGCTACAGTCAATGTTTGAATGTGGGTCAGGCCAATGTTAGGAGTTTTGCGTTTAGGTAGCTGCAACATATCTCTCTCTCTCTCTCTCTCTCTCTCTCTCTCATATACACACACACACATCTTTCCATGACCTGTGAATTCGTCGTCTCCATCAGGCCGGTTCTAAATTGTGAGATCTAGCTGAAGAACTTTGATCGAGGCGTGGGGCAATTACGTGAATGTCATTCCACTTTGAATGCCTGTCAATGGCCCCGGACTTTTCCGTTTGTCAGATTTGAGTCAATGCTCGTGCAAGTATAACAGTGTCTATGGTTAATGGTCATTGAACTAGAGGTCTCTTTCTTTATGGAAAAGTTCTATCAACAAAAACCCATCATCTGGGCCTTGAAGCTGTCAATGAGATCTCACGATATATTCACCGGAAGCTCCAACTGCTCTTCATTCTTAAGATCTTTCACCCTTGGGACACACATTTTCACAAACAAGCACAGTGGAATCTTCCACTGCTGGGTCCAACTCTGAAAGTTCCTCTGCCGTGCCTACAACGTCGTAGTTTTGCTGGGCAGCCCTCGAAATACCCCGTGCCTCCGGGGAAGGAGGCAATACTAACAAGAGCTCCTTAGGCCGGATGCGTTCCGTCACCACATTAGTGAGTGCTAAATCAGAGTCATACCATCGCCCTGTCAGACGCAACGAGCGCAACAACAAAAGCACCACCCACAATGACTTGGCTGTTCGTCACAGTCGAATGGTGGCACCCACTCCCAATCCAGTGAGCACTTATGTAAACGAGTAACAAGATGAGTACAGTTTCTCACCTGGATTGTGTTGATGGTCGCAACCTTCTCCTCAGGGCTATATTCCCAATAATTGCTTTCGCTCTCCTTTATTTCAACTTGTTTGATGTCCTCCACAATATCGAAGTCATATATATTCAAAGGTAAGATCCAGGGGAAGCCACAAAATATTGTGAGGTGCCTCACTGATGCATCCGTCTTTGATTAAGTTCTACGTTTAAAAACTACTGCCAATTTCTCAGGCTCGATCGCTGCAGTCACCCAGAGGGTTAGGGATGAAAGGAAGGGAGAGCAGTTGTTTCTTTCCGTTGCTAGTCCTGGAATGCTCGCGATTTCTTGTTAATCTGGACGAAACAGGTTTAGGGTAGAAATACGCCTGACTGTGCAGTGGCTGGCATGACCAGACACCTACAGCAGCAACTTTTGTTTCACACACATACGGTGCCCAGTATTTATGTTATAACTTGGGGGAAGCGACGGCGCATTTGAGATGGAAAGATGGCGGTGTTTTGATACTATGTTTCGCCCTGATTTGATACTATGTTTCTGTGACCCCGAACAGCAATCGCTTTCCTGAGATCTCATTGATGTCCAGGATGCGGTTTCGATTTCAATCTTGCAGAGGATCGCCCGCGTCCATCAAATCTAATTCCATTGGACCATTGACCATAGACATTGACCACGAGCATTGGTCTCTGCTCCAGTGGCCCGTCACTAGAAGTGTTCTCTTTACCACTTTAGCTCAAGCTCTTTTCCATCTGTCAAGAAATGTTAGCATCTTCTCAAATCACCGCCACCATCTCTAATGCGCCGAAAATACTGCCAAGTTTAAAAGCAAAGGACCATGTGCTTTTTAGTTCTTATGTGCTGTTTTTCTTTCCTTTGTTACCGGGGGTGTTCTTCCTTCTTTTTTTATTCTTCCTGGCAATCCTACTGAAATGGCTGAACATTTTCCTAATACTCTAGCGTTCCTTGACAATGATGCTGGTACACTGGAAGGGCCAGCAGTCGGAAACAGAAGGAGAACGGCCAAGATCACAACTGCATGAATCCCTGATCCCTCCATTTCTGAGATTGCCTAGCAGAAAACTTTTTAGTAACTGAAAAAACTAGGAGCAGAAAACTTTGAGTGGAGCTTGTTACAAATTCCCTTGAGTTGATCGATCCAAAGCTTGAGGTTTTACAGATCTGCTTTGGCACCCACCCTGGACAAGAAGAGGAAAGTTTCGTTTCACCTTCAGTGCTTTGAATCTGGCTGGACTTTCCTTTGAGTTGTACTGTCAATAATTCAATATCAGTCAATGTGTGTTTTATATACTAATCGAATGTAACGATCTTTACCCTTACGTTGATTTACCAAGCCTGCATGGTCGGATTGCGACTGTGCTGTGGCTGCCATGGCCAGACACTTACACACAGCAACTTTTCTTTCACACGCATACGGTGCCCAGTATTTTTGTTATAACTTGAGAAAAGTGACGGCGCATTTGAGATGGAAAGGTGGCGGTGTTTTGATACTAACATTTCTTGACATTTTGCATGAGCTAAAGTCGAATTTGGTCTTCTCGGGACGGGCCACTGGAGCCCGACAAAAGGACGAGCGCTGCGTCGCTCAGCAAAGACTGTTGTATTGTCTGGCCGGAGGAGGACGGATGGAACTCTTTCTCTTTGATTCTACTTGGGTGTCACCTCTCCCTTTTTTCGATCGCGAATGCGGGAGTCACACGCAAGCAGCAGATGCTCACGACATTCACAGGTTTTCCCCACCAGGTTTTGTAGCTTTGCTCGCTGTCGGCTTCCACGGATCGTGATCACTGTACTCGAAACGATTTCCGTGATCATCCTCTCAGGATGGCTGCTGCTGCCAATCTGCCAAAATCTGGGAGTGAAACTTACTTTGAGAGCGAAGTCTTGAGGTGGTTTTGTGTGGCTCGGCCAGAAAGAAAGGTGAGCTTGTTCTGAGAGGTATAGCATCATGGCAGCTATGGCCGACGAAGACTGCTTGCGTGGTAGCTTTCATCTTGGCAGTGACAGTAGCAGGACCATCAAGCCGTGGTCGACCAGGAAATCGTCGTCCAAACCATCGTCTCCGTGGCTCAGTCCTTTGCGGCAGCGCCAGTTGATCCAGCCGGTGTCGAGCACTCGCGTCTGGGACGTAGAGTTCCCGAGATCATCGTCGTCACCATCGAGGCGGCAAAGCCAGGATCCCAGGAGCAGGGAGAGAGTGAAGCTGCGGCGATCGCTCTCGCTCTTGGAACGCCCAACGCCGCCACCGCAGCCGTGTAGCTCCGTCCGCCGCAGCCTGTGGAGCGGCGAGAGCAAGCACGCCCTCCAGATGCGACTAGGAGTCTACCTGGATGCTATGCCCGAGGAGCCCATCATCGCGTCCAGCAGCGCTAGCGATTTGGAAGAAGATCTTCTTCTTCGTCATGGCGACTGCAAGGACGATGATGATCGTGGCGAGAAGAAGCAAAGCCCATCCAGCAGCAGCGATCAGGAGGCGGCCTCATCCATCTTCTCGTCCAAGACCTCATCCATCTTCTCGTCCAAGAAATCCTCGTCCTTCTCCTCCACCAGCGATGGCGGCACAGCCACCTCCTCCAATCGTGCTCAAGAACGCGAAGAAGTGGAAGAACAAGGTGGGTTCCTGGATTACACGCTTGTACACGGCCAGCTCGTTCTTCCTCCGGAGGTAGAAGATCGCGACAAGGAAGAGGACAATCGGCCGCCATGGCCAGCATCGCCATTGCCGCCGGTCCAGGCTATGGCGGACAGATACCCGGCCTGGGCATTGATGCGATCTCTCACGGAGAAGAAGAAAAAGACGATGATCCACGAGGAGGACGGTGAGCGTCGGCGCCACGTCGCCAGGAGATTGCTCTTCACATCCAGCCCTAGCGAGCAGCAGCCACGACCCTCGTCGCGCTTCTTCTCCCCAAGCCCTAGGAAGGAGAGGAGCGATGGTGGCGGTGGCGATCTTCTCAAGACTCTCTTGGACGCTCTGCCTAGAGCGCTGATCCGGAAGAGGAGCAGCAGCGGCGGCAGCAGTAGCGCTGGCAGCAACAACAGTAACAGTTCTTCCTCGGCACACCTGCATTGCGCGATCCGGCACGACCACCATAGCTACACGTATCTCGTGGATGGATCCGAGGAGCGCCTCGTCGCGCGGGTGCCCAGGCCTCGGCAGCAGCACGATCGAGGAGAGAAAGAGCACGAGCAGCCACAAGGTCAAGAGGAAGAGGTGTGTTCTTTCTTCTCGTGGAAGCGTAGCTCCTCTAGGGCGAAGGCACGATCTTCGTGGAGGCCGGCATGGGCGTCGCCCAGCGCTGGAGATTCCAGGTCGCAAGAGTCCTCGGAGCTGGTGGCAAGCATGAGATTGCGAAGGAGCCCTTCATCGATCGCGGAGCTCCAGTTTGTTCTAAGCGATGTTTGCGAGAGATCGTCGGCGCTGGAGCAGCGCCAAGGTGACCAGTCCATCGATCATCGTCTCAGCTTCTCATCGTGGCAGAGCAGCAGCCTCTCCTCGGCGAGCTCCTCGTCCAATCCATCCAAGAGCTCTACCAGGATCACGAAGAAAAAGAGCTTGTCACACAACTCCAGCCCGACCAGGGGAAAGATCGCCGACGATGACGACCAAGAGCTGGACATTCTTCGCGAGGTCTGGAAGCAAATGGAGGCCGATGAGAGATCTCGAGCCGCCAAGAAGAGGATGAATCCATTGCAAGAGCTCGCAGCCATCGTCGTCACTCTTCCAGGCCTAGCGACTAATCACCATCACCTCAAGAGCTCCTCGCATTCCAGGAATCCCAGCGTGGAGTCTCTTCCAGATCATGGATTCGCGGCCATGAGCGTGACGGCCATTCTTCCCGTTGGCGAGCATGGGCTCCCTGATCGTCCAAACAGCGATGGTGGTGACCGTGATAGCAGCAGTAGTGGTGGTGCCGGTGGTCCGAGTTCTTTGATCCAGCGGTGGAGGAGGGGAAAATGCGATTGTGGAGGCTGGGATCTGGGATGCGCGCTTCACACTCTTGGAAGAAACCCGGACGCTAGAAGCCCGCTATCCAGCAAGCTAGACATCTCCCTCCAGGTGAGAGTTTTTCGCGGGTTTTGGTTTGTTCTTGACAAAGTTCTTGTTGATCCAACTTAGATCCAAGGTGGGCGGGGGCAAATCGATCGAGATTGCTTCGAGCTGGTGGGATTGAGCAACGGTCTCTTCTCGGTCAAATTCAAGGAGCCATTGTCGGCGCTGCAAGCGTTCGCTACAGCGGTGGCGATTATCCACGCGAGCCGGGTCAACACTGGCCAGGACCTCTGGTCGGCGGGGTCAAACATTTCGATGCTCTCTCGATGCCCTCCTCTCGAGGAACTATGAAAACAAATGCTAGGATCCGTCAACGATAGTCAAACTTTAAGGCATATCTTAGCATATCCTAAGGATATTCTCTAGACGGTTCTAGGGGTCAACGGTAGTCAAAACTTTGGTCGTTGTTTTGGTCAACCGCGTTGGTGGGAGCGAGAGGACTTTCTTCTTCCCCTCGCATGCGACGGACGCGCACTCCAATGATCGATTCGAAGAGAAACCTTTTCTACCGTAGAAATTTTTTAGCTACCTTCTAAGCTTGGAATCAATGGAAGGCTCTGGCTTCGCGATCACCGCCGGCAGGAACCCTTGTTGAGCAAGGAGAGGCATGGCGGCAGCGTTGTGGAGCTCCATAGCTCCGGCGAGATCGCTCCCAATTGCTCGATGCTGCGCTACCCAAGAGGAATCCTCCTCCGCGACGGTGAGTGTGAGAGAGCGTTCCAGATCCGCGAGCCTAGGGCCGCACACCGGCAGAGATTTGTCCGTGAAGAAGCCGGAGTGGCTCCGGCAGCGCGCGGCGCAGGGCGATCGCTACTCGGAGCTCAAGGAGTCGCTAGGCGCGCTCAAGCTCCACACGGTCTGCGAGGAGGCACGCTGCCCAAACATTGGCGAGGTGGGCTGCCAGCAGCTGCCCAGTCCGGACATTTTCTTATTGGATTTGGTTGGATCTTCGTTCTTGGCAGTGCTGGAATGGTGGGAGTGGCGATGGCGCGCATGGAATTGGGACTGCTACGATCATGCTGCTGGGAGACACTTGTACGAGAGGATGTAGATTTTGCGCGGTTGCGACGAGCAGAAATCCAGCTCCTCCGGATCCATTGGAGCCCGAGAACACTGCCAAGGCTATCGCCAGTTGGGGGTAAGAGATCGATCGAGCAGCTTTTCTCCTTCGTTCTTGGTGATGGAAAACTCTTTTCTTTGCTTTCCCAGTGTAGGATATATTGTTCTTACCAGCGTTGATCGCGATGATATGCCCGACGGTGGCAGCGGCCATTTTGCTCGGACTGTAAGAACGCTCAAGGTATCAGAAGAAAGTTTGTTTTTGCTTGGAGAAAGACAAGACCTCTTGTTTTGTTCTTCCAGGAACTTAAGCCCGAGATTCTGGTAGAATGCTTGGTGTCGGATTTTCGAGGCGATCCGGAGGCCGTGACAACGGTGGCTACTTGCGGTCTGGACGTTTTCGCTCACAACATCGAGACTGTGAAGCGGCTGCAAAGAATAGTTCGTGATCCAAGAGCCGGGTAAGAAAACGAAAACTCCATACCTTTTTTCCGTTCTTTCTTACTGGATCCATGAGCGCGGGCATTGTTGATGCAGGTATGAGCAGAGCTTGGGAGTGTTGAAACTCGCCAAGGCATCGAAAGATGGCCTCATTACAAAGTCGTCGATCATGCTGGGGCTTGGCGAGAAGGATGACGAGATCAAACAAGCTCTGGACGATCTCAAAGCTGCGGGAGTTGACATCGTTACCTTTGGCCAGTACTTACAAGTAAGTGATAGCAATGAAGTGACGAGTATGCTTGTTTACCTTAGCTTACGAACGATCTTCCCGACAGCCAACTCCTGTGCACCTCACGGTGAAAGAGTACATAACTCCGGAGAAGTTCGACTTCTGGAAAGAATACGGGGAGTCAGTCGTCGGGTTTCGATACGTCGCAAGTGGTCCACTGGTTAGTACTCTTCCTCTCCCGCATAATTGCAAACTTTAAGAAAATGTTCTTACCATTTGCAGGTCCGATCGTCGTACCGAGCCGGAGAGTTCTTCTTGGAGAGCATGATTCGCAGCTCTCGTGAAGGATCAAAGAAGTAGGCTGTAGACTTCGCGGCCAATTTTTGGTTCCAAAAACTCCTTTTGTCTCACAGTGGTGGAGAATCTACGCGAAGAATAAAAGCTGCATGTTTCCCGGAAGTTAAAGACGTGTTGTTCAAAGAGCATGCAGTACCTGGTAATCGGCCATGGAGAGATTCGTCACCTCGCCTTCTATTTCCAGGCTCCACACAAATCGCCCATGGCGGACCGGCCTTTCGTCCTTCTATTCGCGTCTCCTGCTTCCTCTCCAGCGTCGTCGTCGCCTTCTCCTTTACTCTTGCTGCTTCGCTCGTCCTCTTTCCCTTTTGACACGCCCATTGCTGGATCGTGTCGGTGTTCTTGCTCCAAATCCCATTACGCTGCATGGTCGGCTCGCGCATTGCCATGTTCGAGCCTCATCACTTGGTCGTGAAGCGAGCATGCATCGCTGAGAATGCAGCGTAATGGCGGTCCCGGGCTGGTTGGAGGCGTTCCTGGCAGGCAACTACTTCGCTCATTGCCGCAGCCATGTCTCGAGCAAGAATGAGAGAAACCACTTCTGTGTCGACTGCTGCGAGGGGCCGCTCTGTCACTCGGGCTTGCGGGATCATCTCTCGCACACCACGCTCCAGGTGAGGCGAGCTTCTCACATGGACGCTGTGCGTATCAACGACCTCCACAAGCTGCTCGACACCACGGGCATTCAGCCTTACACCATCAATGGTGCCAAGATCGCCTTCCTCCTCAGCCGGCCACAGTCGAGGCTCGCCAAAGGATCGCTTCGCTGCTGCGAGACGTGCGGGAGAAGCATCTCGGATCCCCTCCGGTTTTGCTCCATTTCTTGTAAGCTTGCATGCGTGGTGGCGAGCTATGACGACACGGCCATCGTCGCGTGGCCTTCTCCAGGTAAGTCATCCCCCACTGGATCGCTGGAAGACCGCGAAGAACTCAATACAGCTCCATCATCATCCATGGCGACGAGCGACCATCACCACCACCACCACCACCACCAGAATGAGAATGCCGCCACCACCACCACCACCACCGTCAATCTCTTCAAGAGGCGGCAGCAAAGCATTGGCGAAGAAGTTCTTCCTCCTCGGATACTGGGCTTCAAGAAGACCAAGCTCCAGATAGTTGTGAGAGATCGAGAACCCAGCACCACCACCGCCACCACCACTGCTGCTAGTACTACTACTCGCCACCAACATCCCCCACCAGTGACTCTAGTTCCACCCTCTCCAAACTCCGTGCTCTCGTCGGAGATGGCCGCCACACCCACAACCACGCCTTGTAAAAGCCTAGTGCTCGTCTCCTCACGATCGCCCAGAAGCCACCGCAAAGGAACTCCTCACAGGTCTCCCTTGTTCTAGCTAGCCTGAGTCGATGAATGTATTTAACTGTCTTTCCTCTAGCGTTGAGAATGCGATGCCATAGCCGGGCATCTGCCGATGAGAGACGATGCTGCTGGAGTTGAGGAGAAGAATCTCGGCGAGCTCGTCCGCGAATGCGGGAGGAACCGCGACCTGTGTGGCGGGCGGCGATTGCATGCTCGAATCCGCGGCAGCAGCATCCATGCCCAGAGCTTGTACCTCGCCAATCTGCTCGTGGAGATGTATGGCAAGTGCCGCAGCCCCCGCGACGCGCGATCCGTGCACGACTCCATCCCTTGCCCCAATTCCTTCTCCGGGAATCTGATGATCCAGGCCTATGTCGAGAATGGCGAGGTCGAGGAGGCGCGGCGGATCTTCGATGCCATGGCCGAGCGCAATGCGGTCACCTGGAATTCCTTGGCGGCTGCCTATGCTCGGAGAGGGGATGTGGCGGAGGCCAAGAAGATCAAGAAGAGCATGCCGCAGTGGGATGTGTACCTTGGAACCACGATGATCACGCTCTACACTCGCCACGGCCGGATCCACGATGCCAGGGCGATATTCGACTCGATTCCCCAGCAAAACATCGTTATCTGGAACGCGATGGTCGCTGGCTACGCCAAGAGAGGAAATCTTGACGACGCGCGCGCGATGTTCTGGCGGATGCCGCAGCACGACGTCGTCTCCTGGAATGTGATGATCACAGCCAACGTCGAGCGCGGGGAGATTCGCGAGGCCAAGAGGATCTTCGATGGAATGCCCGAGCGCGATGTGATCCCTTGGACTGTGATCGTCGTCGCGAATGCCGAGAGCGGGGATGTGGCTAGGGCGCGCAGCGTGTTCTTGAGAATGCCCCAGCACGATGTGGTGTCGTGGACGGCCATGATTCGTGGTTTCGCGGAAGAGGGACACGTGGACGATGCGATGGCGATGTTCGATTCCGCGGCGGAAAGGAGCGTGGTATCCTGGACGGCCATGATCGAAGGCCTGGCGACGGCGGGAGATTTGAATCGAGCGGTCGAGATGTTCTCGCTTATGCCCAAATGGGATTCCATCGCCTGGAACGCGATGATCACAGTCTTCTCCCAGAGCGGTCGCGTCGACGATGCCCAATCCTTCTTCCACTCGATGCCCTCTCGCAACATCGTCTCCTGGAACGCGCTCATCGCCGTCTACGCCCAATCTCGCCAGGTCGACGACGCCACCGCCGCGATCTCTCGCGCGCCACAGCTCGATGTGATCTCCTGGAACGCCATGATCACCGTGCACGGGCTCGTCGGAGACGCCGTCGCCGCCAAGGCCGTCTTCGATTCCATGCCCCAGGCCAACCTCATCTCCTGGAACGCGATGATCTCGAGCTTCGCCCAGGCGGGTCTGATTGACGAGGCAAGCACCGCCTTCGATCGGATGCCCCAGAGGAATGTAATCTCCTGGACGAGCATCGCAGCCGGATTCGCCCAGAGCGGCCTCGTCGCCCAAGCGAAGCACGCATTCCAATCCATGCCGGAGCGCAATTGGATCACCTGGACCGCGGTGGTGGCAGCATTTGCCCAGAGCGGGCATTTGGGCGAAGCCCGGGATCTTCTCGCAAGGATCCCACACCCGGACGTCAAGCCCTGGGCCGAGATGGCGACCGCGTATGCTCGAAACGGGCATGGCAAGGTAGCGCTGGAGCTGCTCAAACCGATGGAACTCCTGGGAATTCCACCCGACGAGGCCACCTGCGTGAACATCCTGAGCGCTTGCCGGCACGTCGGGCTCGTCGAAGAAGGCCGCCAGTGCTTCTTGTACATGCTGGAAGATCGATGCGTAGCTCCACACTTTGAGATCTACTGCTCCATGGTGGATTTGCTGGCTCGAGCCGGGCAGCTCCCACAGGCCGAGGAGCTTATCCAGAGCATGCCATATCTTCCCGATGATACCACCTGGGGAGCACTGCTTGGCGGCGCTCGGATCCACAGTGATATCCAGTGTGGTCTCCGAGCGGCGTGGAGCGCGTTTGAGGCACACCCCGAGAACCCCGGACCTTATATCCTCATGGCCAATATCTTGCTCGAGTGACCACCTAGAGCTGGCTCATCAAAAACCGATTTTTTTTGTTAGATCGAAAGAAATACCATAGAGAAATTGAAGAACACAGAAGAGTAGAACCAGTGCGCGTACCTTAAATGTTAGCTATTGATACTTATAGACTTACATAGTACAATCTGTTGAGAAATCAATCTTCCGGCTTCCAACCATTGTCAAAACATCACGACACATACTTGTCCAAGTATCCCTGCACAAAAAAGAGAACAAGGATGAATTTACAAGAATGAGAGTGTCGGTACCTTGACGAGCTTGGTGATCTTTGCGTGGGAGGAATCCATGAACTGCTCGATCTTGGCCTGGCCCTTTGGGATTTCGTGACCCTGCAACGTTCCCATGACTTTGTTCACGGCCGTGGAAGTCAGAAAATTTACCTGAAGAATTTACTATACTTTGCGAGGGTTCCCATGTCCAATCTCTTGGAGAGTAACCAACCCAGTCGATGAGGTAGTACATCCGATGTCGAAGGATCTTAGAATCGAGGATCTCAGCAACTTCATACTGGGGTGACAATCAATCTGGACTTCGGGAGCTGGTGGGATGACTCGACTTGGAATATCATTGGTGACGTATGGTTCGAGCAGGGAAACATGAAAGACAGGATGGAGGCACATACTCGGAGGAAGATCCAGTTGATATGCAACTTCATGAATGCGAGCAGAGATTTGGAAGGAACCGAGGCATTGATAGTCGAATTTACCAGATGGACGAGTAGTTTGAATGTTGCACCGCAATAACCAAACTTAATCACCAACCTTTTACTTAGGAGCCATGAGGCGAGGCGAGTTTGTGACGTTTCTGAGCCTCGAGGAAATGTTCTTGGAGATCATGATGAATGTGTTGGAGTTAAGTTGACCGGTTTGTGGTAGAAAAATTGGCCAGTAGAGAAACGGATTCATGAAACGTCCATCGTGGATGGTAGTATTGGAGAAAGAAGAAAAATGTTTGTTGCATGGAACCGTGAACTGTGTTGTTGTACGAGAACTCAATAAATGGTAGGAGTTGTGTCTAATCGTTCTACTGATAAATGATGAAGCAACGGAGATATTGCTTGAGATACATCTTGAAGCTGTTTATCAATTTGGAAGCGAATTGTGCAACTGAGATGGATGATATCTCAGCAGCTCTGGAGTTCAGTTGAGCAGAATTTCATCATCGATCACATAAACGCTGTTTGATTCGAAGAGTCCGCTTTTGAATCGACAGCTTTAAACCACTGAAGCTTTCTCCATCGTCAGGTTCTTGAAGCATAGGCTCTTTTACTCGGAGCGTCGTCTAGCGATTGCAAACGGCGACCACTCTTCACAAAATCCACCGTTGCTGCAACATCAAATAGAAACAACTGAGCATGCTACTTGCCAGTTGCTTAAATTGCATGGTAAATTTATGTATACAGACAACCAAAATAACAAATTTGCCAGTTGCAAATAAAGATTTTCCAATGGTTGGAGACTTAAATGGCAACTGGCCTCTCTCTCACTAATTCTGAGCTTAGTACAATTTGAGTGCCATTCAAATGTCGAAAAAACTGATGACTTAACATAAAAATAATACGGACCATAACTGTTTTGTAATCGTAATATCTTTGACTCGTTTTTTTTTCCTATACATATATATATATGCAGTATCCAACACAACCAGTGAGTATTTTTCATTTATGGAACAGTTTCTTGTGTTTACCTTTGCGTTTTTCTGAAACTCGGTCTTATGCTGCTGGCTTTGATATGGAAATTCGATTTTTTCACCTTTCATGGTTCTAATCATTGCGATATTGAAGGAAGGTAGGATATATACTTCACTCCTCCAGTTTAGTTACTGAGTTGTTTGTTGCTCTTGTGAAGGTACGATCATGATCATTTTCAAGTACAGTGCGAAACCTTCACCTATGCCCCACAGTTGGAAGCTCTCTGAAATTTTTGCAACTGGTGTTGTCATCGACGGCTGGCTGGCGGACGAAACGACTTTCTTACGTTTCTCTTGTAGAAATCTCGGCTGACTGTCAAGAATTTCAGGACAAGGAGGCGATAAGGAGGGCTGAAATTGCAGGAGCAACTGATGTGGTCCATTGTCCTGGGAACTTTCTGCACTACTTTGGAAAACGAGCACAATCGGTATGTATTTCTGGAGTTTTGATTTGAACGTTGCTTTTTTATTTTTTTTCAGAGCCTCGGATTCTGAGCTAGGCTCCAGTGCCTTTATTTTCGTTATTTTCCTTTTCCGGGTTCCTCTGTTTTTCTTTTTTCTTTTCTTTTTTCGGGGTGGGTTTCTGCGTGTTTTCACCTTGTGGGTCGATTTCTCTGGTCACGGCATTCAACCGAGGGGGCGGCTGTTTGCGGCGAGCATTTCTTGGGAACACGGCAGAGTATTTAGCTGTAGGAGTTGTAGTTTCGATAGAGGATCTTCGGCAGTAAGGGATTGCCTCAACGGCCTGTTCAGCGGTCAACTGTCCGGTCTTCTCGTCCTACCTTCGTCAACGGTCAACGGACGGTGCTCAGGCGCGCCCCTGCCATGGCCCACCATGCAGTCCACCCCATCAACCGTTGTGCTTTTAAGGTTTACCGGTTTACCCTAAATACACAGGACAGGCTAAGGGTAGTATTATCAGGTAATGGCGTGTTGTGGTGTCAGCGATGTCATTGAGGGTGGTCTCTATCGGTGTGGGGATGTTACCAGTACCGTGTGCAGGCCTGTGGATCTGCACATAGGTTTAGATAAGGCAATAGCTGAGCTAGAAGAGGATGCTGCAAAAGGACGATGTCGAGGCCCTTATCTTGTGGCTTCCAGAGTGTATGAGAGTGTGTTTGAGCTCTGGAGCTTGGAAATCGAAAGCGGGTGGAAACTCTCCTTTGTAAAGGAGGCGGGGAAGGATTTTGGGTCCGTTTGGCTTTACGGCGATCCCTCACGCGTTCATGAGGTTGTTGCCCTCTGCGTACATGAGATGAAGGAGCAGATGGTATCAGCATGGTATGAGCAAGGCAATCGGGGTAGCTTCAAAAGCCGAGATGTTTTGCTTGGAATTGGATCTACGAGAATACCACTCAAAGTCGACAAGTACGTTATCAATAAGGAGCCTGACGTCGGTATGCTTGTACTCTCTTGGATATGTGGTTTGTGTATAACAGTTTGCGATGTTTTACAGCATGGGTGCCATCGCAAACGCCAAATGCTCTTCCGAGCTTTGTCCTTGAGCTGTCGTATAGAAATGAATCGATCCCGCGGCTCAAGGAAGAGATGCGGTGGTGGTCATGCAACGGCGTGGCCATCACATTGGGCATCAAACTGGAGATCAAGCGAGCTGGTTAAGGCAACTTTTCTTCTTTTTCTTTTTCTTACGAGTTACTTGATCAGGTAATGGGGTGCTTAGCCAGCGGTTTCTTCTTTTCATACTCGATCATCAAGATGGCACCGGTCGTTTCCGCGACGTGAACTTCAGTCCTGGGGTATGTAATGAAGAGAACCAAGAAGATTTTGTGCAAAGAATTCCTTTGCACAAAATTATGCGAGGATATCCGACAGGTATATTTCTATGTTTTGGCTTTTATTTGAATTTTTTTTTCTTGACATTGCAGGGCTTGATCAAGATTTTCATTTTGAGCTCAGCCTTTTCGAGCTACAGCAACAAATTGTTTCACTGAATTTGGTAGAGGCACCGCCATCTCGTGGTATGTGTTTCGTGCGGTTTTAATGTTTCGATTGTTAAAAATGCAACAAATGAAGATATCTGCCTATGTCGGCAAGGAGTGGATGAAGGTGCTGTGGTTGTCTGCTCACACCGAGATTGTGAAGTTGCAGTATTTCACCACAAGGACTGTGTCAACTTCTCTGAGGGCGTTGACGACGACACCGCGTAGATATGTCCTTAGTGTAGATCTGACCGTTGATCTGACTGTAACCATTGAATTCTGAACACACGAACAAAAAGCCCTGGGCATGGCTATGGCGGCTTCTCAGCTCGAATTTCACTGCGGCTATGCGTCCAAGGAGTTTGTGATCAGTCACAATGTCAAATCCGCCGCCAGATTGCTGCTCTACTCCAGAAGCAGGCTTTCCGATTGCAGAAAATGTAAAGTTGCGAAGGAGAACACAAGAACCTATCCTGTGTATTAGAAATTAGTGTAACGCACGGGGATTTCACCTTTTATCTTATGGTGATTTACCATGATAATTTATGGTGATTTACCAAAGTCATATAACATTTTTAATTCTACCACCACTTAGCATCAGTGTTGTTAATGTTGTTGGATGGTCGGTACTACACATAATTTGTACAATAGCAGTTGATATCTAATAGATATTCTCATTTGATTTTTTAATTAGGGTTTGGTTAGGAACACATGAGCGGCAGCAGCAGGAGCAAAAGGAACAACTAGAGATCTGAAGCTCAGGAATCGCGGTGTTTAGATCTTCATCAGAATGCGTTCAGTGGCTGGAAAGTGCGGTTGACTGAAGATCGCTTGCTGTTGCGTTTCCGTTTTCGACAATCTGCCAAGCTGAGGTAATTATCATTCATTTTGTTCGGAGAATTGAGGCAACTTTTTTCTTGTTTTGCAGGTCAGAGGTCTTTAAAGCCTGGCTCTTAATGTCCAAAAGGCAGAAATCTCACAGACAACATCTTCATATTATGCTGGAGAGATCACTGCTGAAGAGTATGTTCTACCGATGGTTGATTTTTATGGCAGAGTTCAGGTTAGTGAAGCTGTTCATGGTTTCATTCGATTTAATGGCAGAGTTTGTCTCGTCAGGAAGGAGTCAGTGTTAAAAGACGCTAGAGTTTTGCAAGCTCAGTTCTTTCACAACAGGACCTTCAAGACGCGGGAATTATGCAGGCCGAAATGACAAAGATAATCAAAAGCTTGGAGCGAGAAAAGGCGCTGATGAACCGTAATATAATTGCTGCTGCAGCTAGAACACCCTTCATGGACGTCCGGTTTTCTTGATGGTGAGCAGTAAAAAAGCTCGAGTTAATTCTTTGTGAAAGCTTATTTCTATTTTTATTTTTGCAGCGGAGCTTCGTTGGAATTCTCCTCATAGTTCATCAGGAAGTGTTCCAAGTGCTCGTGTGGGACATAATGCAGTAGCATTGCAGCTGAAGGGCCTTCTCCAGGTAAGTCATCCCCCACTGGATCGCTGGAAGACCGCGAAGAACTCAATCCAGCTCCATCACCATCCATGGCGACGAGCGACCATCACCACCACCACCACCACCAGAATAAGAATGCCGCCACCACCACCACCACCACCGTCAATCTTCTCAGGCGAAGAAGTTCTTCCTCCTCGGATACTGGGCTTCAAGAAGACCAAGCTCCAGATAGTTGTGAGAGATCGAGAGCCCAGTACCACCACCGCCACCACCACTACTACTCGCCACCAACATCCCCCACCAGTAACTCTAGTTCCACCCTCTCCAAACTCCGTGCTCTCGTCGGAGATGGCCGCCACACCCACACCCACGCCTTGTAAAAGCCTAGTGCTTGTCTCCTCTCCATCGCCCAGAAGCCACCGCAAAGGAACTCCTCACAGATCTCCCTTGTTCTAGCTAGCCTGAGTCGATGAATGTAACTGTCACGCGCGGAGAATGCGATGCCATAGTCGGGCATTTGCCGATGAGAGACGATGCTGCTGGAGTTGAGGAGAAGAATCTCGGCGAGCTCGTCCGCGAATGCGGGAGGAACCGCGACCTGTGTGGGGGGCGGCGATTGCATGCTCGAATCCGCGGCAGCAGCATCCATGCCCAGAGCTTGTACCTCGCCAATCTGCTCGTGGAGATGTATGGCAAGTGCCGCAGCCCCCGCGACGCGCGATCCGTGCACGACTCCATCCCTTGCCCCAATTCCTTCTCCGGGAATCTGATGATCCAGGCCTATGTCGAGAATGGCGAGGTCGAGGAGGCGCGGCGGATCTTCGATGCCATGGCCGAGCGCAATGCGGTCACCTGGAATTCCTTGGCGGCTGCCTATGCTCGGAGAGGGGATGTGGCGGAGGCCAAGAAGATCAAGAAGAGCATGCCGCAGTGGGATGTGCACCTTGGAACCACGATGATCACGCTCTACACTCGCCACGGCCGGATCCACGATGCCAAGGCGATATTCGACTCGATTCCCCAGCAAAACATCGTGATCTGGAACGCGATGGTCGCTGGCTACGCCAAGAGAGGAAATCTTGACGATGCGCGCGCGATGTTCTGGCGGATGCCGCAGCACGACGTCGTCTCCTGGAATGCGATGATCACAGTACACGTCGAGCGCGGGGAGAATCGCGAGGCCAAGAGGATCTTCGATGGGATGCCCGAGCGCCCCTAGACTGTGATTGTCGTCGCGAATGCCGAGAGGGGGATGAGGGCGCGCAACGTGTTCTAGCACGATGTGGTGTCGTGGACGGCCATGATTCGTTGTTTTGCGGAAGAGGGGCACGTGGACGATGCGATGGCGATATTTGATTCCGCGGCGGAAAGGAGCGTGGTGTCCTGGACGGCCATAATCGAAGGCCTGGCGACGGCGGGAGATTTGAATCGAGCGGTCGAGATGTTCTCTCTTATGCCCAAATGGGATTCCATCGCCTGGAACGCGATGATTACAGTCTTCTCCCAGAGCGGTCGCGTCGACGATGCCCAATCCTTCTTCCACTCGATGCCCTCTCGCAACATCGTCTCCTGGAACGCGCTCATCGCCGCCTACGCCCAATCTCGCCAGGTCGACGACGCCATCGCCGCGATCTCTCGCGCGCCACAGCTCGATGTGATCTCCTGGAACGCCATGATCACCGTGCACGGGCTCGTCGGAGACGCCGTCGCCGCCAAGGCCGTCTTCGATTCCATGCCCCAGGCCAATCTCGTCTCCTGGAACGCGATGATCTCGAGCTTCGCCCAGGCGGGGCTGATGGACGAGGCAAGCACCGCCTTCGATCGGATGCCCCAGAGGAATGTAATCTCCTGGACGAGCATCGCAGCCGGATTCGCCCAGAGCGGCCTCGTCGCCCCTCGGCGGACGTGCCGCCAGCGACGTAGACGCGGCCCCCTACTGTCACCGCAGCGGAGTGGGATCGAGCGATTCCCATGGGCGCCATCTCCTCCCAGCGGCAGTGGCAGAAATCATACCTGTGGACGCGGCTGGATGGGATCCGGCTCTCCTCCCCGCCGAGCCGGAGCGCAATTGGATCGCCTGGACCGCGGTGGTGGCAGCATTTGCCCAGAGCGGGCATTTGGGCGAAGCCCGGGATCTTCTCGCAAGGATCCCACACCCGGACGTCAAGTCCTGGGCCGAGATGGCGACCGCGTATGCTCGAAACGGGCATGGCAAGGTAGCACTGGAGCTGCTCAAACCGATGGAGCTCCTGGGAATTCCACCCGACGAGGCCACCTGCGTGAACATCCTGAGCGCTTGCCGGCACGTCGGGCTCGTCGAAGAAGGCCGCCAGTGCTTCTTGTACATGCTGGAAGATCGATGCGTAGATCCACACTTTGAGATCTACTGCTCCATGGTGGATTTGCTGGCTCGAGCCGGGCAGCTCCCACAGGCCGAGGAGCTTATCCAGAGCATGCCATATCTTCCCGATGATACCACCTGGGGAGCGCTGCTTGGCGGCGCTCGGATCCACAGTGATATCCAGTGTGGTCTCCGAGCGGCGTGGAGCGCGTTTGAGGCACACCCCGAGAACCCCGGACCTTATATCCTCATGGCCAATATCTTGCTCGAGTGACCACCTAGAGCTGGCTCATCAAAAACCGATTTTTTTTGTTAGATCGAAAGAAATACCATAGAGAAATTGAAGAACACAGAAGTAGAAGAACCAGTGCGCGCACCTTAAATGTTAGCTATTGATACTTATAGACTTACATAGTACAATCTGTTGAGAAATCAATCTTCAGGCTTCCAACCATTGTCAAAACATCACGACACATACTTGTCCAAGTATCCCTGCACAAAAAGAGAACAAGGATGAATTGAAACGAATGAGAGTCTCGGTACCTTGACGAGCTTGGTGATCTTTGCGTGGGAGGAATCCATGAACTGCTCGATCTTGGCCTGGCCCTTTGGGATTTCGTGACCCTGCAACGTTCCCATGACTTTGTCCACGGCCTTTTGCGCGATTGTCTTGAACGCGACTTTGCTCAGGTGGCCTTCCTTCCAAGCCGGCTTGAGCGACTCCTTGACGAAGTCTGTGATCGCGTTCCTCAGCACCTTCAAGGACCTCATCTCCCTGTCCATCATCTTCTTCCGATCATCACTCGGGCTGTGACTTTGCGTCTTTTGTAGCTCGAGAGAAAACTCCGGCGCTCCAAACATCTCCAAGTCACGCTCAACCTCTGGAAGTGGCTTGGAAAGAGCTTCATTTCGAGCTTCATCTCGAGTGTTATCTCTGGCAGCCACAGCCACTGCAGCTACTTCACACCCAGCGTGATCTGGTAAAGCCGAATCCTGATGCTCCTGTGTCTCGATTTGTGCGTGCTCTTCTTGGCATGTTTCCACCACCATTCTGTCGTAAGCTTCCACCACTCCATGCTGTTGATTCGTTTCCACCACTCTACGCTCTTGATGCGTTTCCACCACTCTATGCCCTTGATGCGTTTCCACCACTCTATGCTGCTCCTCGACACGCTCAGTCGATGGCCTGGGACTGGGACTATCTCGCCTAGAGTATCTCCTGTGACTGGGACTCTCCTCCCGTTCCCTACGAGAGTATCCATTGTGCCTGTAATCGTCCTCCAGCTCCCGGCTCCTCGATTTCCCATTCACATCCCGTCCCCTGGGATAGAAGCTCGAGTCGCGCTTACTGTGGCTGTAGCTCCTCCGCTGGTATCTGTCCTCAAACTCGTCGTGGAGAAACCAGCACTCATTCCCTCTGAAGCAATTCCCCCTGGCGTAATCCACACAGATCTTCTGCTTCTTGCCATGGATCCGCGGCGGTGGAGACCGGCTGGAAGATGAAAGTACACTGAGATAAGCGATTGGGATGGGCGAGCTAGCTCCAATCTTACCTCAATCGCTTGGGCGATCTGCTGCGATCCCTTCGGCGCCGTCCAGGGGAGCGGCTTCTACTGCGCTGCCTCTTGCTCATTGCGCCGCCGCTGGAGGAGCAAAGAACCAGCGAGCGTCATCTCGCTTTAAGCGCCATCGCCAAAGGTAGGGTTAGGGCAAGATTCCGTAGCTTCTACGGTGAAATGTACGGCAACGAATTTAAAAGTTCCACGTTTGGCAAGTAGATAACAGTAAACTTTGGTAAAAGGTTCCAGTTTTTCCTTTAGTTTTATTTCTTCTTTTTAACGATAGGCTTATACTGCGCAGCCCTAACCCCTGAAGCTTCACAGGGTTAGGGCCAACGCTAGCGTCATCAATCGTGTGTGACAGATCTTTGGGGAGGGGCGGAGGAGGAGCCGCCATAGCCACAGCGCCAAGCAGCAGGATCGTCGGGCAGCTCTGCAATCCCTCCGCGCGCTCGTAATCTTCGCGGCTATGGCGCTTTTTTCCTGCTGCGCTTAGGTCGGGGGAGCGCAATCAGCAGCGATGCACGGCGCGCAGCTACGGCAATGGGCGAGGGTGAGGTTCCGCTGCCCAAATTTCGTGCTTTCTTCTTGTTTGTGTGGCTGATTCTGGCACAGGGAACTGGGCTGGGGTTTTTCCCGTCTGTCCATGCCCCGCGGGGTGGAAGACCTAGCGTGATCTTGCCTGAGCTGTGATTCCTGGCTTGTGGAGTGGGATTTTCTCGTCCATCGTTTGCTGCATGGTCGATTGCGGGTTGAGCTGGCATGAGCCCCTCTTTCTTTTTGCTTCGATTTCTCCTCCTCAACCCTAGGACGAAGCTCGCGTTCTTTCTCCCCAGTGTCTCAATTGACTAATTTTTTGCAATTTTCTTTCTTTCCCTTTTGTTCTTCAGTGCTACCAAGCTTGTCGCGAGATTTGGTACACCAGTATGAAATTGAGGAGGAGGAAGTGACTATGGTGTCGAGCCCAGATCGACCCCCTGGATCTCCGGGCGCTCCCCTGGATCTCAATTTCCAGAATGCCAACCAAGTAGACGAGCCCACTCGCTCACTGGACGCTAGAGAGCACCAGGAAGAATTTTCTCGCGGCTCCGGCATGGATTCTCACCTGGGCGAGTCAAACCATTTTTCCCGCTCAGACAGGGAGCTGGAAAACGCTCTCCCGCTGCATCAAGACAAGGAAGATAAGGGGCGGGGTGGCAGGAAAACTCGATGGGATCCATCGCCCACCAAGCAGGGAGCTCAATCGGAGTCCGGGAACGATTTAGCTTATTGTCAAGACAATGATCTTGACGAGAGACACACCATCGGTTCTCGGAGGGCCTCTATGATCTCTTCTTCGAGCAGCTATGGAAATGGTTACGCGGACCATGATTCGAGAAGCCGGAGATACAATGACAGCCGGAGGTGTGTGACGATCCAGGGGAACATCCGCAAAGATAACTACTATAGAAACGATGTGAAGCCGGGCTTAGAGTACAAGAGCTCTTCGTACGAGCGTTCAGCGGTTTACGATAGGGGGCCTCACAGATTTGGTACTAGGAATGGCTTCGAGCGTCGGGGTGATTGGTGTGCTTCACGCGGTAGCAGGGATCATCGGGACTGGGGAAATCGCTCCGAGAGTAGAGAGAGCTACGATGCTAGAGATCGCAGGTGTGATCGGGAAGTGTTTGAGCGCAGGGACTGGATTCGAGGTGCTGAAAGAGATCGGAGGCAAGTCAGAAGCTCGGAGGAATGGCACTCGGATGACTATCGTAGCAGTAGCGGGCAGTGGGATTCAAGTAGCAGGTTTACCAGTGTACAAGCGGCGGTCCCGGCATTCCAAGCGAATGAAGGATCGGCTTTTCTTTCCTCTAGTCATCATTTGCCGCCTCCTTCCGTAGAGCACGAATCTTCTACACCTCCGCCTCCTGTGGCTGCCCTGCAGCCTGTTCTAGGTGATCCGGGAACTCGTGTTCCGATGGAGATCGAAAGTGATGGACAAGAACAGGAAGACCGAGATGAAACGTATGAGCCTGGAGAGGTGAAGGACGGGTGGGTGTACATCAACAAGAATGGAGACACGCAGGGGCCTATGGAGCTGGCTGCATTGAAGCTGCTGGCGTCCAGGGAGTTCATGCCAGACGACCACCTGGTGATGCGCTGCGGGACAAACGCCTGGATCACTCTAGAGCATGCACAGTCTCCGGACAACGGTTCGTCGGCCTTACAGAAGCTGGTAAATCCTGTCGCTGCTACTAGAAATGCAAAAGATGCTACACTGGTGGAATCGACCATCGATGGAAACGCGCAGTTCCAAAATGAGTCTTTTGAGTTCTTGGACATTGACGGAAGGGTGGAGAGAATACTTGCGACCTGTCGTGCCTCGGACCAAGGAAACGAGCTTAAATCTGTATTGAGTAAGTTTTGTGCTATTAATTAGTAAGTATCGTAAGGCGTTTAACGGGCCACTGACTTGTGTTTTGTGCCAGGTGCGTTGGATGCACAGCGACAACACTCACCAGACGAAGGTTGTGGAAAAGATGGTTTTTGCGGTCGATATTCGCTAACGCGTAATTGGCTTTTGCAGGTTCTGCTCCGCCTGAGCTGAGTAATCCGTGGAAGGACTCATACAACCTCGGATTCGGCGTTGATGCTGATTTGGAGTGTCTAGATGCGGTTCCCAGAGTTGTGCCACCCGAGCCGGTGCCTGCTCCTCCGCCGTCAACCGAGGAGGACTTGCATCATCACGATCACAATCCAAGTCCATTGAAGTGGAAGCCTGGTAGATGGACTTCCAAGGGAGGAGACTGGAAGTTACTTCATCCGGATGGTCAGAACTACGTCAAGGTGGTTCTGAATGAGGGTTCTTTGCTCTGCGAACGTCCGCATTACGGGGTTGACCCCAGGAGGCAGGTCCAGGTGTCAGAAAGACCAAAGTTTGAACTGCCACAGTGGGCACTTGACAGAAATCAGAAGGCGGATTCAAGTGCTGAAACGACGAAATCAGCTTCGGCAACCAGGCCAGCGAAGACTGCTACCAGGGCTTTCGACCATGGAAAAGAGATTGCTCCGGAGAGAGCAAGCATGGAAAGACCGAGCTCTTTCCTTACGAAGAAGGCATCTTTCAGCGATACGCGTCCTAAGACACTGCCACCTGAAAGGCACACACCTTCAGCAAGAACGTTTGCTTCGAAAGCTCAGAGACCGTCTTCATGCTCTGCAGATATCAAGGCTAAATGCAACCATGATCTTGGTAGAGGAGACTGGTTCTACAAGGATGGAGGTGGTCGCGAAAGAGGCCCGTACTCATTTGCTGAACTGCAAGCAATGATTGGAAGAGAGCTCCTAATACCGGGTACCAGCGCTTATAGGAAGAGCGATGATCTCTGGGTGCCACTCCCGCGGCCTGAGATGGATGATGGCAACTTCAACGTGACAGAGGTGACCACTTCCAGTTTTGATGGTGCTCGACGCGTGAGGAAAGTCGTGACCACAAATATCCAGCAGACTATCATGGCCTTCACCAGCGGCCAGCTACATGAACACGTTATGAAGCACTACAAAAATCAGGTGATGTCCGCGATTTTGTTCGAAGGTTTAGATGCTCGTGCAAAGCTCATAGAGTCGAACAGAAGGCTTTCAACGTGCTCTACAGTAGCTTTGCTCTCCGGCGAAGATTCTTGGATTGGATACGGAAGGTCTCACCCCTCGCCTTCGAGCTCCAATGACACAAGTGACGAACGCGAAGATGGTACGCTTATTTGCTTCCCATGGTTTACTGTAATGCCTAACTGTTCTTTTGTAGGTGACCAAGATCATCGTCCCAACAGAAGGCCTTTATTCAGGTCTAACGGATTGAGCCAGGAGCAGACTTCCAGAAAACGGCGTCTGGTTTACAATGACGATGTAGAATCGTCGGAAGATGAACTCCCGACAGGAAGAAGAACAAGACAGCGATGTCTGATCCGCAACGACGTTTTTGACTCATCGGATGAGCACTTGTACGAGGAGGGACAGAATAACAGCTGGGAGACACTAGGACAGTTGATGCTGATGCGAATCTACCATCATCTTAAAGGGGACTTGAAATCGCTGGCATTGATTTCTATGACCTGCAAATCCTGGCGCGCTGCTGTGGAGAAGTTCAAGCCAAAAGTGAAATGCCTCGATTTTACGTCCATCGGATTGCATTGCACAGATGCTGTTTTGTCTTCGGTCCAGGTATGCGAACGTTTCTTTCTTTCACTGGTTGGCTAATCATCCTACTAAACAGCAACAAAATTATGGTGGGGGCAACCTGAAGCAGATACTGCTGAAGGATTGCACGGTGCTCAGTCCGGATGCTCTCGGGAAGTTTTTGGAGGCTTGTCCGACGATTCAAGATGTTGATATCAACGGCTGTGACCAGTTCGGCGACCTTAGTCACAGTTTTCCTCAAGTAAACTGGGTATACGACGACAGTGAGGTGTCCGACAGTGCAACTCAGGGAAGCGATGATTCCCATCGCAAGATGAAAAGCTTGAACTCCATCGGCACTTGTAGCTTAAGTAAGGACGATGAAGACGTGGATGAGTCAGAGCCGATGGACATAGACCCATGCTACAGCAACGAGCAGGACATCGATTCCATGACGCAGCACAGTGGCTACAAACGGGTTAAGGTGACCACGGATATAAAGGTCCTAAAGGATAATGGTTACTTGAAAGGCAAACGGAAAACTACGGTGACGAAGAAGCTCAACAAGTTAAGACGTTCAGTGAAGTCTGTCGTACTGGATGAAGAATTCACCGAGGTGGACGAGTATGCATGCGATGTACGCGAATGGGGTGCGCGCATGACCAAGGCAGCAATGGTGCCACCGGTGACCAGGAAGTATGAGATTATTGAGGACTACTGGATAGTCATAGACAAAGACTTGGTCGAAAGGAAGATGAAAGTCGAGGTTCCAGACGACTATGAGGAGAAGCTAAGGGCTTCAAAGCTGAAGCGTGGTGAATACAGCCACCTAGACATTCCTGACATCAAGGAGTACCACCCTCGAAGAGAATTGGGGCTGGAAGTCATGGAGCAGGAGGTTTATGGAATAGACCCGTACACACATAATCTTCTTCTGGATACTATGCCAAAGATTCCAGCGATGACACTTCAAGAGAAACTGCAGTTTATGGAAGAGGTATGATCTTTCAGAATGTTTCTTGTCCTTGGCGACTTACAGTGTGTTTGCAGACATTGCTCCAAGCCATAAACAAGGAGGTAAAACAGTTTACCGGTACAGGAAAAGCGCCAATTGATTTTTCACTGGAACCCGTCATACAACGAATCGTAGATGACGCTCAAGATACGTCCATGCAACAGTTTGCCCAAGGGCTTCTCTCTAACATGCGCAATCGTACAAAGGAGAAGTATTTAGCTTATCGCAAGGTATGCTCACTGCCGTGCGCGTGCATGTTAAGGCATACTTATTAATTGCACTGCAGGGCCTCGGGGTGGTTTGTAACAAGGACGGTGGATTTAAGGAGGACGACTTTGTTGTGGAGTTCTTTGGGGAGGTACACGTTTACTTGTTTTAATTCCCACTTAACTCTGTCAATCAATTATAGGTGTATCCTGCCTGGAGATGGTATGAGAAACAGGACGGATGCCGGTATTTGCAGAAGAAAGATAAAGAACCTTTGCCAGAGTTCTACAACATTTTATTGGAACGGCCAAAGGTGCTTACCCTGATTCTTGAGCGTCAGTTACTGATCAAATGCGGTTATAGGGTGATGCTGCTGGCTACGACCTTGTAGTCGTGGATGCCATGCACAAAGCAAATTTTGCAAGTCGGATATGTCACTCATGCAGACCAAACTGCGAGGCAAAGTAAGCTTCACTCAATTAAATCAGTCCTATGTGCTAACACGGGTTTGTCAGGGTCACTGCCGTCAAAGGCCGATACATTATTGGAGTCTATGCTCTACGACCTATCCAGAATGGTGAAGAACTAACTTTCGACTATAATTCTGTGACGGAGGTGAAGTTCACTCTCTTTCTCTTTATGATTTGTGCAAGCCTGACACGTCGTCTTACAGAGCAAAGAGGAGTACAACAACTCAATCTGTTTGTGCGGAAGCCAGTGTTGTCGTGGGAGCTATCTTAATCTTGCTAATGCGGGAGCTTCACAAGATGTTATCAAGGAGCGGCATGGTCTACTGGACCGGCATGTTCTACTTCTTGAAGCCTGCTGTGAGGGGCCGGTGACAAGGTTGGAGCTCGAAGAGATGAGGCAGGCGGGTGTTGGATCTTGTCTTCTGGACGGCTTGCCGGATTGGTTGCTAAAATATACGGCCCGACTGGTATGTTTTAAATTTTAAACTTTGATCTCCACTCATGTTTTTGTAGGTGGAGTTTATGAATCTGGAACGGCAACTACTGCCTGACGAGCTCATGAGAAGTGTTAAAAAGAAGAGAAAGGATGCCGATTTATCTTATGAACTCGGTAGAGTCGATGCCGAGAACCAGGTTTGAAATCACATCAAAGGGGACTTTGGACGTTTGTAACCCACCTCTGTTGTTTACAGGCCGAGGGTGTCTACAATCAAAGGCTGCAAAACATTGCCATCACACTTGACAAAGTAAATGTTCCTCTTTTTTCTCTTCGTGATCTTCTTTTATTGACGGCGTTTTCTTTTGCCGGTTTCAGGTGAGGTACGTCCTGCGGCAACTGTTCACGGATCCTCGGGAGGCACCACCTCTTTTGAAAAAGCTCGATCAGAAGGAACTCGTTTCGCGTCTGTGGAGTGCAGAGAATTCGATTGTGAACGAGCTGCTTAGCTGTATGATGCCACACATCCCGGCGGATAGATTAGCTGAGTTGAAGCGGCAGGTTCAAGAGCATACGCCAGACGAAAGAGACGACGGGGGAAGCCTCCGGGAGTCACTCTTATGGTACGTTTTCTCTTTCTTGTGTTGTTCTTGCTGACGATTTCTTTAGGCTAAGAGATACGCTGCGAGGTTTGGAGCCGACAGTGTTGTCAAGACATGATGCAGCTGCAGACCTGGTTCAGATGTACGCGTACACTCAGTGCTTCTTTACGTGCGAGGTATGCGTGTCTATGGTTTGTGTTGATCGTCTCATCACGCATATTTTACCGCAGGAGTATGGCACCTTTGAGTCCCCTCCGATTGAAATAAGCTCCCTGGATCTTGGCAAGCATGTCAATCCTCCCTCTTGCCACAAGTGGAAGAAGACGTACAATAAGGAGTACGTGCTTGGGCAGCTCATATCCTGGTTCAAGCAGACATGCGCTGATCCTGGTGCCAGCCTTGTACAGCAACGAAGAGGCTGCCTGGTGCTCCCGGATTTCTCGTCCTGCTACGCCAAGGGCTTGCAGCAAGATTCTCGGCGTGCGTACGGCTCCAGGTTTCGAGAAGAAATGTTCCCGCGAATGGTACGCTCGATGCGTTTCTCTCGTTTCTCTCGTTTCTCTGTGGCTAACTTGGTTCTTGTTGCGCAGGAGCGCTGGCCTCAAAAGCAGTGGCCAAAGTCACAGTTTTGGGAGTTCAAGAGTAACAGAGGGCTGTTTGGGAGTCCAATGCTGGATGCCGTGCAGCGACGCGGCTATCCAGACTCGGAGATGATGCATTGGCTCAAGACGAGGCCCGTTAACTTTGAAGGCCCCTACGACGATTGAGAAAGAAGAGAGAGCAGGGACGAAAAACAAAGGAAAGAGAAGGGAAGGAGCCACATCTTGTTTTACGATGATTAGCTCATCGCGGTGGGCTAATCATCCTAAAACAAGGAATGTGGAAACAAGGTTTGTTCTTGTTTTTGTACAGATATACATTGTCCGCGTTTTGTCGTTTGATTTTTCTTACATGGTCCCTTTTTTAAAAACGAATATTCTCTAGCCCTAACGAACTTTAGGGCTCCTTTTTCTAATGCGAATATTCTATTAAGATTAGGGCTTCTGACAAGCGCCAGCCGTTGGATATAGCGCAAACTACTCTTTAAAGAGCGAACATCTCTAGATCACTATTGTGCCGACGATCATACGAGGCCTGCCACTGATTACCGAAGGATCATCGGGCGTTCCCTTGTGCCCACTCCATGCTAACACTTCCTCGAGGTTTTCCCTGGCTCCAATTGCACGCCCTGCCACCTCCACCCCATCTAGCGTCCACTTGGCCTTCACACCTTCCAGTGGGAAAAACGCGCCCTCCCCACAAGCAAAGGCGCCCAGCTGCTGCACAAACTTGACCCAGATCGCAACAGGCCTGTTGTCCCAAGGCTGCTCCACCGGACGTTTGGGAGCGACTTCCACAGGCCGCGGACCAAACTCTGCCGAAGATACCCGTCCTGCCAACAAATCTTCGATACGTGCATCACTCAGGCCGCAAGCTTTCCCGAGGCGATGCAGCCACTGTTTGAAATCAGGCCAAGCATCGCGATCGAGCCTGGAAACGTAGGCTGCGAAGTCGCCTAGCGTTCCACTCTCCGCCTCCAGCATCTGGATAGCGGCCTCCATAGTCACAGTAGGCCGCTCTTGGGAGAGCTCCACCAAGCGGAAAACAAGAGCCTGACAGTCCGACGGAGGGGGGATTTCGTCGTCGTGAACATGTTCAGCTGCAATGTCGAGATCTTCTCCTCGTCCTCGCGCCAAGCAAACTCGAGGTCGATCAATGCGAACTGGTTGCCACCCAAGAGGATCATGTTGCGGGGGTGGACGTCCTTGTGCCGGCAGCCGATCAGGTGAAGGTGGAATAGCCCCAGGAGGATGTCAACCGCCAACTTGCACAAGACACCCCCATGGAACTTCATGCCTCGAATGCAAAGTCCCAGCGGCTTTGTGACAAGCCCATGCACGTCACCAAACTGGCTGTGCTCGGTAGCAGCTCCCCATGCCCGGAAGCAGCCATCGCTGACAAGCACGGGCAAGCTGGGCGACTTGATCCCTCGCTTGCAAAGCGACGCCAACGCTGAAACTTCAACACCGAGGTTCATGTCGGCCTCGTAGTCCAGCTTGAGAACAAGCTGATCGCCTGTGGTGAGATCGATGGCACTGTAAACGGCGATGGAGCGGGACGTATGCAATAGCTTCTCTAGCCGGATCTCCAAAGCATCACCTCCAGTGCACATGAATCGGCCCCTGTGGCCTGCTGAGAATGGGCCATAATACCCACCGATCTGGAACGGTTGGCTCTGGCTGCCATCCCTGTTTGTTTCTGATCGCACCTTTTCGATGTGCAAATCTCCATTGTAGCCCAAATCGACTGGCAATGGCTCGCAGTGGCACGCAGCCATTGCCGCACAAGGTGACGGATCGCTGTAGAACACGTCCATCGTTCCCTTATAATCTTCTTAAAACCTTTTTACTTTTCAACAAGGGCATCTTTACTGACTTAAATGTTTCACGATGGCTCGAATAATTCCATTCCGTGTTGACTTTCACTGGAATTCTAGGATGAAAGGAGGAGGCATACCATAGGTCATGTAAGATGGACACGGCAGGAAATGTGGTCGGCTTGGTAGATATGGCAATAAAACTTGTGCGACACATACTCCAAGTGAGGGAAGAGCTTAAAAATGCACCACTCAAGCTGCAAGATCTAGTCTCTTGTGTAGATCATGCGGGGAGCTTGTTACTGGATCTTCAAGCAGCAGGTGAGTCTGGCCCTATCACCCGGGTGAGATCAGTCGTCATAGAGGAGCTTGGAAAGGAATTGGCAGCCGCGAATGTGAAGATTCAAAGATTTACTGGCTCGACCAAGAGTGGGAACTTGGATGCCGGTGTGTTGAAGGCATTTTTTGGACAAGGGCTTGTCAAGCAAAACCGACGCACTGAAGAGATCACTGCTCGGATCAAGGAGCAGCTCACGACTTTGAATCATGCACTCACTGTGGAGACTCGCCTTGCTGTGATCACAGCCTCGAGTTTTTGCTCGCCGAGACAGAGACCTGGAATTGTGCAGCTTCTGGATAGGCTTGCTGTGGAGAATGCGGATGACGAGGTGTGCAGGGTGGCTCTGGAGATTGGAGGAAAATTTGGGTCGAAGTTTTTGTCTAGAACTCCAGAATCTAATGACTTGAAAAGGGCGGCCCGAGAGGGAGGTTATGAGATCGAAAACTCTACCAAGATCAGGTTTGAGATATCGGTGGATGAAGACGACTACTTTTTCTATGTTGTCACCTTTGATTGCACCAAAGCATTGGTTGAGCTGTTCTATCCGAATCACTCTTTAGCAAACCATAGCCTTAACAGGTAAAGTTCATGCAAGCATAACTTTATAGCACTTCCTGAGACACTTTGAGACACTCCCTAACATTTTGTATTGCATTACAGCAAGTTCAAGCGATTTTTTCCAGACCAAGTGAAAAGTAGGCGTGATCCCATAAGTTTCCGCATCGAGAGCTCTGATCCCAGCTTCACACAAGTTGAGCAGCAGATTGTTTACATTGTTTTCGCAGGGGCGAAACTACATGAAGGTTTCTTCTCAAAGTTCTTTTTTCTTATCGCTTTCTAAACTGTTTTGTCTTCCACAGATGAACCACACAGAGCGCTAGAGATGAAAGATATCCAGGATAACATCAACATCTCAAGCAAAATAATTGTCAGGAAATACATCTTTGACATCATGCCAGTGTAATTACGAATTCGACATTGAAGTGTTTAGTCTAGTTTGTGGAATTGGGCTGGAGCTTAAGCTTCCTCAGCCAAACTTATTCTCAATGTGGGACTTCCTAGAGCAACCAGAGGAGCCCAGAAGCGGATGGGCTTTCCAGAATCGATCAACTTGAGCATCGAAAACCTCACGGCCTCGACAATGGTATGTTGCTTGTTGAGCTCTTCAAACACACCTGTGCAACAAAGTAAGAAACGAAACGAAAAGGAAAAGTTTTGATACCAGTCATGAGTTGCAGTGTGGCAGCATCGTCCACTTTCCACAGCGTGACAAGCACACACGCCGCACCAGCCTGCAACACTGCTCGCCCGAGCCCCAGCAATCCCTCGCTGGTAACCACGCCATCGCCCGTTTGACAAGCGCTCAGAACCACGAGACGAGCCGCGATGCCCTTCTCCAGCCGCTCAATCTCCTTGGCAGTGAGAACTTGATCGTGGAGCACAGCTTGTTGCTTCAAAGCAAGATCGACCTCTCGGCGGAGGCTGCTCGTCACACCCACTGTAAGCTCGTTGAATCCTTGCTGCTGGTTTTGCCCTTGCATGACCAAGGCACCGTGAGGATAAGCCGGGCTCACCAGCCCGTGAGTTGCGAGCACGGCTACACGCACGGACGCGCTGGACAGCGCTTGCATGACGGAGCTCTTTGTCATGGCTGCGCCGACTAACGCATCCACGCCGAGCTGCTTGGCAATCTCCTCCGCTTCTTTCCTCGCACCTGGAAGTTGAGGCTGATCGAGACCCATTGGCTCCGGATCCCCAGCAACGAAGAAAGATGGCTCGTCGATATCGTGGTGATGCTCTTGGTGGAGCTGGCAGCGTCGCAGAGCTCGGATGGAAGGGATGACTCCCACATTCTTCTTCTCGACGAGGAACCGGCCTTCGGATCCATCGTATAGTGCGGCAAACGGGACGACTGACATGGTTCCTTGTGGAGCAAAGATGACGGTGTCATGGGGCTCGATGTGCTCCCAAACAGGCAGGACAGTGAGCTTGTAGAGAATCCCCAGCGCCACCTTTGCCTCTGCCTCGTGGCTCTCGCGTTGGATCACTGTTCTGGCCTTCCTGATGAGCGCGTCTAGATTTCCACCCATCACCTTGTTTTCCTTGGAAGCAAAGAATTCCTGCAAGCGGACGCGCTTGAAGCGGACAGTGAAATCCTCCCCTGGTGTGGAATGCACAACGTAGATGAGTAGTGAAGAGAGTGGATGGTTTGCCGAGAATGCATACTCCACCACCACTGAGTTACAGCCAGCTCTCGCAACAGCCTCTTTGATGCAGCTTGCAGCGTGGTGATCGTCCTTGTCGAATGCCAAAGGGTCCAGTAACTTTGGACTTGCGGGAGTGGAGTTTCTAAGAGCTTGGTCGGCCAAGTGAAAGTACAATCTCATGCGACTCCTCTCGGCCCACAAGAGTGCATCCACGAAACTGTTTGCCTTCGATGAGATCTTCTGCAAGAAATAGTATATGTGCTTCATATCGTCATCCAGAAGAGTCACCCAAGCAGACTCCATGTTTTGCAGTTCCATCTGGACGTCCGCAAACAGGTGAGCTGCTTCACGAGCTTCCGAGGCCGACTCCTCCATTCTTCCTTCTGTCGCGAGTATAGAAGCCCGAATGCGTTTGATCTTTCCCATGAGCAGTGCATCGTCACTGCTTACCAGGCTCGTAGCACTGTCCAGCTTAAGCATAGCAACGCTGTAGTTTTTCATGTGGAAGTGAACCACTGCTTCCCCGGCATAAGCTCTCACAAGATCTTGCAGGTTCCACTCGCCGAATCTCCGCATGATTTGTACTGCTCGATCGTACTCAGCCAGCGCTTTCTCGAAGGAGGCCATAGCCGGGACAGGATTGCCTTTGCGTTGTTGCTCAGCTCCTCTGTCATTGAACAGTCCTGCGCGGTTGATATAAACCTGTGCCGCATGTATCGACATGTCGTCGGGAATCTCTTCCAGAGCCTGATCAAACTTGTCAAGAGCCGAATCCAAGTCTCCCATCTTTCTATATGCGTATGCCAGACCATTTAGCGTCGAGTACCTGAGCGTCCAATGCTTCGAGGCTTCAAGCAAGTCCGTTAGCGTCTTGACGGATGCCTCATTGTCTCCGAGGAGCCGGTTTGCAACGCCATAGTAGAACATCAAGTGAGGGTCTTCGCCATACTTGCTCTTGAACCGGCTGGCCAGATCGAAAGCAGCGCTGAAACGGCTGCTCTGGACGTAACACAAAAAGAGTATGGAGTACACCATGCCCAGGCGATTGTCCAAGCACTCCCTCGCTTCCAAAGTTTCCTTTGCGATCTCCAGCTTCGCTTGAGCTTGGATGTTGTTTCCAAGCGCAAACAGGCACTTCCCGACTCCCAGCATAACATCTACTCTCAGATCCCAGTCCGTCTCCAGCAAAGCCGCGTGCTCCGCTTGAATGCGGCCAAACATCTCGAAAGCTCTCACTATATCCAAGCACGACTTCACCTCGAGGCAGCACCTGATGTGTGAAGAAACCTTGTCTCTCTCCGTTGGAGCCAATGCAGTGCACAGCTCAAACCTCTCCAAGGCCTTATCGTGCTCCGACCTCCGGGAGAGCAGCAACCCCATTGCACGATGGAAACGAAACAGCAACTCCGTCTCGTCTCCTGGCAGCAAACTAATGCCCCTGTCCAAGTGCTCGTAAGCATCGTCTAGCGAGCCACGGGAGAGCATAACCACGCCAAGCAGCCCGTATGCTTCGCCCGTGAGAACTTGCATGGAGCGTGGAAGAACCATCTGAGCACCACCATCCTCATCGCACTCACCGAAAAACTCGGATATCACCCTGCCGTGCTGCTGGACGAGGAGACAATTTAGCAGCCAGATATTTGCACTCGCAAGCCGCCTGGCTTGCAGCTGCAAATCTCCCTGGATTCGAAGTGCCGCTTTCAAGCTCCACACCAAGCAATCCACAGCCTGGTCACAGTCACTGCAATGTTCCACTGCCAAACAACCTGCAGCCCACCAGCCAAAGCTCGCCACTCCAAAAATCTCCTCTTCTCCGGCGGCCAGTGCCATCTCCCGGAAAGATTCCACTGCCTGCTTGTACTCTTTTCGATCCATGTAAACGAATCCAAGCAACTTGTATCCGTTGAATTGCCGCCCGCCACCCAAGCTGACGCATGCATTGGCATGCTCCAACGCCAAGTCAAGTTCCCCTAAGCGGCGGTACGCGTCTCCTAGGAAGCTGTGCACCCCCGCGGCGTGGTAGACGATATGCGGTGCGAGCCCCGCTTTGAGATACTCCACTGCGCTGCCAAACTCTCCTTTGTCAAACAGCAGCCAGCCCAGCTCGAACTTGCCCCGCTCCACGGTATTCAGCTGGAAAACCTCATTCAGATCGTCACCCAGATGATCTTGCGCCAGTCTCAGTCCTGCCTCAAGATCCGCCTTCGCGGATTCCAGCTCTTCCACACCGGGTCTGAGCAGGATGCCTCTCTCGATCAAGGCCAGGACTTGGAACCTGACATACCCCTCGCTTGCAGCTCGCTCTTGAATCGATTCGAATAACAGAATGGCGTCGCTGACTCTGTCCAGATGAACCATGGCATAAGCCATGCTGGCGCAGATGGAGAGATCAATCTTGCTGCTACTGCTGCTGCAACTGCAAAGGCTTACCCCGCATTGCTCCTCGAGGCGTTGCACTGCCGACTCAATCTCCAGCTTGAGCTGCCCAGTTGCAGGGCCATAGGCCGGAACTGGGATGACACTCAAGAAGTGATCTATTGCTTCCATGATCGTGCTTGCCCTACAGATGGACTATGTAAGACCAGTTCCACCATCTTTTGACTTTTTCAATTCCATGTACCTTTTGAGCTCACTGGATGATGTTTCGCCAGAAGATAATCCACACGCAACTCAAGCGTCCAAAAACAAGCAACAACGCTTGGCTCGAAAGGCAAAAGCTTCGAATTCCCTGGATGATTTTATCTCCATCCAAAGTCTAAAGCCCAGTACTGCGCTCTTTCCTTTAGCTCGAGACCAAAATGATCCAGCTGCGAGAGTAACACCACGGTGATGGAATGCATCCCGATTTGGAGATGTATATGCTGACGTTCTATTTTCAAAGAATCATTAAGCGTTCCCTTTACCCACCCATGCTAACACTTTCTGCCTGGACGCCCTTGACCTCCAACCCATCTAGCTCCTTCACAAGAATCTCTCTAGAGGAAACTTGGAAGAAAATCTAAGAACAGTACATCAAAGAAAACGCGCAAGAGAATCAAAGAAGACGTAGAAAGGAGAAAGGAATCGAAAGCTACGTACCTGCGAAGATAAGATATGGAACCCGGTGAGCTCCATTGATGTAGATGGCGTCGGAGACAAGCAGTGCCAAACACAACTCTCCTTTCGTGCTCTAATTGATGAGTGGAAGGAGCAGGGGGAATCCTAAAGAAAAAAGTGCTATTCAACAAAGGGCATCTTTACTGACTTAAGTGTTTCGCAATGGCTCGAATAATTCCTTCCGTGTTGACTGTCACTGGAATCCTAGGATGAAAGGAGGAGCATACCATAGGTTTTGTAAGATGGACACGGCAGGAAGTGTGGTCGGCTTGGTAGATCTGGCAATAAAACTTGTGCAACACATACTCCAAGTGAGGGAAGAGCTTAAAAATGCACCACTCAAGCTGCAAGATCTAGTCTCTTGTGTGGATCATGCGGGGAGTTTGTTACTGGATCTTCAAGCAGCAGGTGAGTCTGGCCCTATCACCCGGGTGAGATCAGTCGTCATAGAGGAGCTTGGAAAGGAATTGGCAGCCGCGAATGTGAAGATTCAAAGATTTACTGGCTCGACCAAGAGTGGGAACTTGGATGCCCGTGTGTTGAAGGCATTTTTTGGACAAGGGCTTGTCAAGCAAAACCGACGCACTGAAGAGATCACTGCTCGGATCAAGGAGCAGCTCACGACTTTGAATCATGCACTCACTGTGGAGACTCGCCTTGCTGTGATCACAGCCTCGAGTTTTTGCTCGCCGAGACAGAGACCTGGAATTGTGCAGCTTCTGGATAGGCTTGCTGTGGAGAATGCGGATGACGAGGTGTGCAGGGTGGCTCTGGAGATTGGAGGAAAATTTGGGTCGAAGTTTTTGTCTAGAACTCCAGAATCTAATGACTTGAAAAGGGCGGCCCGAGAGGGAGGTTATGAGATCGAAAACTCTACCAAGATCAGGTTTGAGATATCGGTGGATGAAGACGACTACTTTTTCTATGTTGTCACCTTTGATTGCACCAAAGCATTGGTTGAGCTGTTCTATCCGAATCACTCTTTAGCCAACCATAGCCTCAACAGGTAAAGTTCATGCAAGCATAACTTTGTAGCACTTCCTGAGACACTCCCTAACATTTTGTATTGCATTACAGCAAGTTCAATCGATTTTTTCCAGACCAAGTGAAAAGTAGGCGTGATCCCATAAGTTTCCGCATCGAGAGCTCTGATCCCAGCTTCACACAAGTTGAGCAGCAGATTGTTTATATTGTTTTCGCAGGGGCGAAACTACATGAAGGTTTCTTCTCAAAGTTCGTTTTTCTTATCGCTTTCTAAACTGTTTTGTCTTCCACAGATGAACCACACAGAGTGCTAGAGATGAAAGATATCCAGGATAACATCAGCATCTCAAACAAAATAATTGTCAGGAAATACATCTTTGACATCATGCGAGTGTAGTTTGTGGAATTGGGCTGGAACTTAAGCTTCCTCAGCCAAACTTATTCTCAATGTGGGACTTCCTAGAGCAACCAGAGGAGCCCAGAAGCGGATGGGCTTTCCAGAATCGATCAACTTGAGCATCGAAAACCTCACGGCCTCGACAATGGTATGTTGCTTGTTGAGCTCTTCAAACACACCTGTGCAACAAAGTAAGAAACGAAACGAAAAGGAAAAGTTTTGATACCAGTCATGAGTTGCAGTGTGGCAGCATCGTCCACTTTCCACAGCGTGACAAGCACACACGCCGCACCAGCCTGCAACACTGCTCGCCCGAGCCCCAGCAATCCCTCGCTGGTAACCACGCCATCGCCCGTTTGACAAGCGCTCAGAACCACGAGACGAGCCGCGATGCCCTTCTCCAGCCGCTCGATCTCCTTGGCAGTGAGAACTTGATCGTGGAGCACAGCTTGTTGCTTCAAAGCAAGATCGACCTCTCGGCGGAGGCTGCTCGTCACACCCACTGTAAGCTCGTTGAATCCTTGCTGCTGGTTTTGCCCTTGCATGACCAAGGCACCGTGAGGATAAGCCGGGCTCACCAGCCCGTGAGTTGCGAGCACGGCTACACGCACGGACGCGTTAGACAGCGCTTGCATGACGGAGCTCTTTGTCATGGCTGCGCCGACTAACGCATCCACGCCGAGCTGCTTGGCAATCTCCTCGGCTTCTTTCCTCGCACCTGGAAGTTGAGGCTGATCGAGACCCATTGGCTCCGGATCCCCAGCAACGAAGAAAGATGGCTCGTCGATATGATCGTGGTGATGATCTTGGTGGAGCTGGCAACGTCGCAGAGCTCGGATGGAAGGGATGACTCCCACATTCTTCTTCTCGACGAGGAACTGGCCTTCGGATCCATCGTATAGTGCGGCAAACGGGACGAGTGACATGGTTCCTTGCGGAGCAAAGATGACGGTGTCATGGGGCTCGATGTGCTCCCAAACAGGCAGGACAGTGAGCTTGTAGAGAATCCCCAGCGCCACCTTTGCCTCTGCCTCGTGGCTCTCGCGTTGGATCACTGTTCTGGCCTTCCTGATGAGCGCGTCTAGATTTCCACCCATCACCTTGTTTTCCTTGGAAGCAAAGAATTCCTGCAAGCGGACGCGCTTGAAGCGGACAGTGAAATCCTCCCCTACTGTGGAATGCACAACGTAGATGAGTAGTGAAGAGAGTGGATGGTTTGCCGAGAATGCATACTCCACCACCACTGAGTTACAGCCAGCTCTCGCAACAGCCTCTTTGATGCAGCTTGCAGCGTGGTGATCGTCCTTGTCGAATGCCAAAGGGTCCAGTAACTTTGGACTTGCGGGAGTGGAGTTTCTAAGAGCTTGGTCGGCCAAGTGAAAGTACAATCTCATGCGACTCCTCTCGGCCCACAAGAGTGCATCCACGAAACTGTTTGCCTCCGATGAGATCTTTTGCATGAAATAGTATATGTGCTTCATATCGTCATCCAGAAGAGTCACCCAAGCAGACTCCATGTTTTGCAGCTTCATCTGGACGTCCGCAAACAGGAGAGCTGCTTCACGAGCTTCTGAGGCCGACTCCTCCATTCTTCCTTCTGCCGCGAGTATAGAAGCCCGAATGCGTTTGATCTTTCCCATGAGCAGTGCATCGTCACTGCTTACCAGGCTCGTAGCACTGTCCAGCTTAAGCATAGCAACGCTGTAGTTTTTCATGTGGAAGTGAACCACTGCTTCCCCGGCATACGCTCTCACAAGATCTTGCAGGTTCCACTCGCCGAATCTCCGCATGATTTGTACTGCTCGATCGTACTCAGCCAGCGCTTTCTCGTAGGAGGCCATAGCCGGGACAGGCTTGCCTTTGCGCTGTTGCTCAGCTCCTCTGTCATTGAACAGTCCTGCGCGGTTGATATAAACCTGTGCGGCATGTATCGATATGTTGTCGGGAATCTCTTCCAGAGCCTGATCAAACTTCTCAAGAGCCGAATCCAAGTCTCCCATCTTTCTATATGCGTAAGCCAGAGAACTTAGCGTGGAGTACCTGAGCGTCCAGTCCTTCGAGGCTTCGAGCAAGTCTGTTAGCTTCTTGACGGACGCCTCATTGTCTCCGAGGAGCCGGTTTGCAACGCCGTGGTAGAGCATCAAGTAAGCGTATTCGCCACACTTGCTCTGGAACCGGCTGGCCAGCTCGAAAGCAGCGCTGAAACGGTTGCTTTGGACGTAACACAGGAAGAGCATCGAGTACAACGCGCCCAGGCGAGTGTCTGCAAGGCGCTCCCTCGCTTCCAAAGTTTCCTTTGCGGTTTCCAGCGTCGCTTGAGCTTGGACGTTGTTTCCAAGCGCAAACAGGCACTGCCCGACCCCCAACATAACATCCACTCTCAGATCCCAGTCCGTCTCCAGCAAAGCCGCGTGCTCCGCTTGAATGCGGCCAAACATCTCGAAAGCTCTCACCACATCCAAGCACGACTTCACCTCGAGGCAGCACCTGATGTGTGAAGAAACCTTGTCTCTCTCCGTTGGAGCCAATGCAGTGCACAGCTCAAACCTCTCCAAGGCCTTATCGTGCTCCGACCTCCGGGAGAGCAGCAACCCCATTGCACGATGGAACCGAAAAAGTAGCTTTGTCTCGTCCCCTGGCAGCAAACTAATGCCCCTGTCCAAGTGCTCGTAAGCATCGTCCAGCGAGCCACGGGAGAGCATAACCACACCAAGCAGCCCGTATGCTTCACCCTTGAGAACTTGCATGGAGGGTGGAACAACCATCTGATCACCAGCATCCTGAATGCGCTCACAGACAAACTCGGATATCACCCTGCCATGCTGCTGGACGAGGAGACAAGTTAGCAGCCAGATATTTGCACTCGCAAGCCGCCTGGCTTGCAGCTGCAAATCTCCCTGGATTCGAAGTGCCGCTTTCAAGCTCCACACCAAGCAATCCACAGCCTGGTCACAGTCACTGCAATGTTCCACTGCCAAACAACCTGCAGCCCACCAGCCAAAGCTCGCCACTCCAAAAATCTCCGCTTCTCCGGCGGCCAGTGCCATCTCCCGGAAAGATTCCACTGCCTGCTTGTACTCTTTTCGATCCATGTAAACGAATCCAAGCAACTTGTATCCGTTGAATTGCCGCCCGCCACCCAAGCTGACGCATCCATTGGCATGCTCCAAGGCCAAGTCAAGTTCCCCTAAGCGGCGGTACGCGTCACCTAGGAAGCTGTGCACCGGTGCGAGCCCCGCTTTGAGATACTCCACTGCGCTGCCAAACTCTCCTTTGTCAAACAGCAGCCAGCCCAGCTCGAACTTGCCCCGCTCCACGATATTCAGCTGGAAAAACTCATCCAGATCGTCACCCAGATGATCTTGCGCCAGTCTCAGTCCTGCCTCAAGATCCGCCTTCGCGGATTCCAGCTCTTCCACACAGGGTCTGAGCAGGATGCCTCTCTCGATCAAGGCCAGGACTTGCACCCTAACATTCTCCTGGCTTGCAGCTCGCTCTTGCATCGATTCGAATAACAGAATGGCGTCGCTGACTCTGTCCAGATGAACCATGGCATAAGCCATGTTGGCGCAGATGGAGAGATCGATCTTGCTGCTACTGCTGCTGCAACTGCAAAGGCTTACCCCGCATTCCTCCTCGAGGCGTTGCACTGCCGACTCAATCTCCAGCTTGAGCTGCCCAGTTGCAGGGCCATAGGCCGGAAGTGGGATGACACTCAAGAAGTGATCTATTGCTTCCATGATCGTGCTTGCCCTACAGATGGACTACCACTGTAAGACCAGTTCCACCATTTTCAATTCAATGTACCTGTTGAGCTCACTGGATGATGTTTCGCCAGAAGATAATCCAGGAAGTTCCCCACGCGACTCAAGCGTCCCAAAACAGGCAAAAACGCTTGGCTCTAAAGGCAAAAGCTTCGAATTCCCTGGATGATTTGATCTCCATCCAAAGTCTAAAGCCCAGTACCGCGCTCTTTCGTCTAGCTCGGGGCTTTGTGCTTTCCAGACCAATATGAACCAGCTGCGAGAGTAACACCACGGTGATGGAATGAATCACGATTTGGAGATATAAATGCTGACGTTCTATTTTAAAAGGATCATCGGGCATTCCCTTGTGCCCACTCCATGTCCATGCTAACACTTTCTGCCTGGACGCCCTACCATGACCTCCACCCCATCCTTCACACCTTCCAGTGGGAAGAATGTGCCTCCCGCTTGAGCAAAGACTTGCAATGGCTTGCCATTGCGCCAAACACAACTCTCCTTTCGTGCTTTAATTGGAATCCTAAAGAAGTGGTAAATATATTTCAAGGAACTATGATTTGATGAGAAAAGATACACCAAGTAAACTTTATTATCAATTAACTCCAAGATAATATGCTAAAGAACTCATTAGAGATAACATAGCATTAAAACAGAAAAATCATTTATAAAGCTATTTAAAAATTATTATGCAATATTATATTTTTTTAATTCCGTGGTTAGTTTGTATAATTTAAAAAAATATCAGATCAGATTATATGACACAAATCTATTAAATATTTTTATTGTATTAAATAATTTATAATTTCATTATCAGATTAAATAACACAACTTGTTAGAAATATATTTTAAAAATTTAAATAATAATATATTCTTTAACAAAGTGACACAGGTAACTCCATCTCAATATATATTTAATACTTAGCTTTTAAAAATTTATTTGAAATTTATAAGCTAATTTAGATTTAAAGTCATAGTAATAATAATCTATTTACTTAATTTCTTATATGTCATGGAGAGATACTAAAGTTCACCAAAGAGTAGTATGGAGAAATACTAAAACTACTAAGGATTGGAACAATAAAATGTAATATAGACAAATCAAAAAATGCAAATACATAAACTTTTAGGTGATTAACTTAAACTTATGTAAAAAAACTAAAGAAATAAAGTGGAAAACAACTTTAAAATTAATACATAAGCAAATAAGTTTTTTTCCATCTGTGAGTGTATGGAATATGGAAAGGGAATACAGAAATGTGCATATCAATTAGCCCAAAAACCCTAGCTTATATATAGGAGCGAGTGGTCTGGATTGAAACCAATCCAACGGCTACCAAAATCCCACTACGCTAATATTAGTATATGGCATCGTAGCTGTACACTTGGCCCTCACATCATCCCCTCCTCTTGGAATAATAGAAGGCCGTCAGGGTTCTCTTGTAGATGGGCCGGGATCTGGAGGAACGTTAGGAGGAGGCATCGGTAGATCTGTAGACGGTATTAATTGCTCTTGATCCCTTTGTATGAAGCATTTTAACCGCTGCACATGCACAATCTCCGGAGGATCGGTCTACTGAACGTCATGCTGAACCTCATAAACTTGTGGTCCAACTTGCCGCAATACCCGATTGTAAGCCACAAATTTTTCCTTTCCAATTTGCCAGCTTACCTCGCCTATCCGTCCAACACCGCCTTGGCTTTTGCTAAGTTCCCTTGCCAAGGTTCTCGCCTATGGTACTAGCTCCTACTTGGTCTCAGCTACTCACTGCACGAGCAACGGAGTGTTAGCCATCCATCCACGGATTCCCAAATCACTCCCAATCCCCCTCCCTGGGTTAGACTGGACTTAAGGTTCGGCTACACTCCCCGCAAGCACAAGCAGCCAAGCACACCAAGCTTCCAAGTTCCTAACATCCTTTGGTACCACAAGACTTGATCATGGGACCCTCTAAAGTCTTGAGTGCAACACTTGCTTCGGGACGCCGGGGTGAAACACCGTGGCTTAGCGGCCCGGTATGGGTACCTCTCGCCCCCCACTTCCATCCCGAAGGAAGGCCCAAGCCCCTAGGAAGGGCGAGGATCAATGAGCCGCATGGTACTCAAGTGGGGCACCACTCCACATGAGCCGGGAGCACCGCAATCGATTTCCCTTTCGGGAGTGGGAGCTGCTCTTGAGCACTTCCTTGGATGGCCCCTCCGGCACCAACCAAGTCCATGCTCACTCCCACCCAAGGCCCCTCGGTCCCAGTCCCAACCTCAAGTCAGTTTGGGAGCCCCATTGGAGAGTCCCTTCTAAACTGGTTCCTGGACCTCACTATCCCTACTATACTTTTGGAACCCCCTGCAGCCCCCCCCCCCCCTGGGAGACGCACGCTTTGGGCTTTCACCCCTTGACCCGTATTAGTATTTGGATTTAGTCTCTGGCTCGATCTCGGACCCGATTTCGGATCCGACTTCGGATTCGGTCTCGGATTTGATCTCAGACCCGACCTCGGACTCGACCTCGGACTCGGTCTCGGACCCGATTTCGGATCTCGGACTCCGTCTCAAACTCGGTCTCGAACTCGGACTCGAACTCGGTCCCCGAGTCGGTCTCGGACTCGATTCCGGACTCTATCTCGAACTCGGTCCTAGAGTCGGTCTTGGACTCGATCTTCGACTTGGTCCCATCCGATGAACTCTTTGTCATTTTGGTCATGCTTTCGGGGTTCCTTTAGCCTACGACACCTCGGCGAGTTGGTTCCTTACAACTCCACCACCCATAGAAGAAGTTCAATGCCCACATTGAATGTCTCGTTTTATCCTACGACTTGTTGACCATGTCTCCAGGGGCATCCCCCCACTTAGCGGTGTGCCTAAGTTAGCCTCCCCGGCCAAGAGCCCATGACAACGGAATATAGGTGTCCCTATACTCCTCCCCTCACCACGCCCTAGTATAGGGTCGGGACTTGAACCCAGCCTTGCTTTACTAGGGGGTTGGGACTCGAACCCAACCTCCGTAGAATACGTCTACGGATTCGACATCCCCGCAGGGAGTCGGGCGTAGCTCCCTACGCCTGGTCGACCTAGCTAACCCATGCTAATTAGCTTACCTTCGGCGCGCCTTCGGGTCCCAACATATGCCACTTGCTCAACTTTGCAAATTGATATTTTTAATTGAACTTTGCATAAGTACATAGAGTTCTGCCTTGCAGAAATTCCTCCACTAGATCTCGCGCTTTCGCTAGGTTCTCCTCCGGTTCCCATGTTGCTTCGCAGTGTGGAAATCCTTTCCACTTCACATGGAACTCTCTCACCTCGCGTCCTTGTCGCTTGCTCTTGCGCGCATTGAGGATGGCCTCGACTTCGTATTCCTCTTCCCCTTGGATAACCTCAGGTAAAGGTCTTACTTGGTCCTTGCGAAGCAGATCCTCAAAGTACGGCTTGAGTAAGTTCACGTGGAACACTGGGTGCATCTTCCCCATCTCTCGAGGAAGTCGGAGTCGGTAAGCCACTTTACCGATTCGTGCCTCGATCTCGTAAGGCCCCGCAAACCTGCTTAAGGAACTCAAGATCAATTCATTTACAGGAATACATGCATTTTTACCTTTGGGTCAACTTTCGGCTGATCCCACTTGGTAGCCTGAGGTTCTTGGTGTTCAGCCACACCTTCTCCCCAACTTGGAACTCTACATCCCGGCGCTTTAAGTTCGCGTACTTGGTCTGCCTTTGTTGAGCCCGTTCCAAGGAATCCCTCACTAGATTCCAAATGTTGAGTCTTTCCGCCGTGAATGCCTCCACTGCGGGTAGCTCTCCATGATACTCGGCCACGCCGAGTTCCACAGGACCTTCAATAGCTCGCCCATTGATGACTTCCCATGGACTCACCCCGATACTCGAATGTGGTGAGTTGTTATAACACATTTCCGCAAGTCCCAAATGACTTACCCAATCGGTCTGGTCTCCCAAGACATAGCATCGCAAATAATCCTCCAGCTGCCTATTCACCCTTTCCGTTTGTCCGTCTGTCAAGAAGTGTTAGGGCCACTAAACTTGACTTAATTCCCCATACCTGTCTGTGGGTGATAGGCTGTGCTGAATTTCAACTTGGTGCGATACTGTTCCAGGAGGGTCCTCCAGAACCTACTAGTGAAGATCTTATCTCGATCTGAGATAATCTCTTCTGGCCTTCCCCGCACTTGAACCACTTGTTCGAAGAACAGCTTCGCCACACTTTCCGCATCCACTTCCGTTGTGGTGGGTATGAAATGTGCCATCTTCGAAAATCGATCCACCACCACGAATATCGCATCGAACCCCTCGCTTGGGGGTAGTCCCGTGATAAAGTCCATCGTAAGACATTTCCATGGACGATCTGGAATTGGGATGCTTTGCAACAAGCCCCCACTAGCCTTAGTCACGGCTTTGACCTGCTGACATGTTGGACATGTCTTTACATGGTCTTGGACGTCCTTAGCCATATCTGGCCAATGGTACTTCCTCTTGAGTAAGCCCATCGTCTTGGGCACTCCGCCGTGTCCCGCAAGAGGTCCGTCATGACACTCTTCTAAGGCTACCTTCCTTAGTTCCCCTTCTGGAACATACACCCTCGTTTGCTTGTAATAAATGAGTCTGTTGCGTTCCGCATAACCTGTTTTCTCTTCCGTCGGCAGCTCACCTCTCTGGTGAGCTTCCCGTGCCTCCAAATTCCGCAACAACACTTCTTGTGCTAGACCATCGTTCTCATATGCTGTCCGCACATCGTCCCAGAAGGTTGTTGTTGCGCTGGAGATCGCCAACCTCAAGCTCGCTTTTCGGCTTAGCGCATCTGCCACGATGTTGCTCTTCCCAGGCTTGTACAGAATCTCGCAATCAAACTCGGCCAAGGCATTGGCCCACCGACCTTGTTTCCCTCTCAGGTCGGGCTGTGACAAGAAGTGTTTTGTTGCCACATTGTCCGTGTAAACCTTGAAGTGTCTCCCAAGGTAGTGTCGCCACTCCTTGAGCGCCTTGACCACCGCAAACAATTCCTTCTCGTGGGCAGGCCACTTCCGTTGAGCCTTGTCCAACTTCTTCGAGAAGAACGCTACTGGATGGTTGTCTTGCTTCAAAATTGCGCCCAACGCAAAGTCCGAAGCATCCGTGTCTACCTCAAAGTCCTTACCAAAATCTGGTAATGCCAACACCGGAGCCTTCCTCAACTTCCCTTTGAGGTGGACGAATGCCGCCTCGCTTTCCGCTGTCCATACCATCTTCCCTTTTCCGGTTTGGTCCGTTAAGGGTAGGGCTACTCTTGAATAGTGTCTGATAAACTTTCGATAGTAGTTGCATAGCCCCAAGAACGCCCTCAACTCATGTACATTCGAAGGTCGCTCCCATTCCTGGATCGCTTGGACCTTCTCCGGGTCCACCTTGAGCCTGTCCTGGCCTACCA